CAGAAGGGCTAAAAATACTTTTAGGTGATGGGCTATTTGCTAGGACATTCTGCACAAGATTTTCTGTTTCTAAGTTGTCCTTACTCAGTGCACAAACCGCACTGCATATCACACTCAAAAGAAATCCTTGCTAGTGAGAGTCAAAACCTCTCCATCTTGATCTGGAAATATACTGAGTCTTCCCAAGCCTTTTAGAAGAAATGTTAGGAAGAGAACTGTTTTTTAAAAGTGTTCTCAGAAAGACCATACCCAGGACACCTTCACCATCACAATCCACTTGTATTTCTTCATCTCTCCACTCTCCTAAAGTTATCAAGATGCACCAGGAGAGGGAAGTGGGGGGAAATCAAAAGCTGAAATAGCTGGAAAAAGGTTTCTGCACATTCCTGACTCTCTGCTATGCATGCTTCTGACAATGTTCAACCCACACTGCTGACATAAATTGTGGGAACTTGGCTTATGCAAGCCCTCTTGGCTGCCATTAAGCTCTCTCTGCCACCATCACAACTTAAAACATTTGGAAAAGGGGAAGAGAAAAGCGAGCACAGGAGACAAGAAGGCTAGCACTGAGGCATTATCATTACTGGAATTCAAAAGTGGGTTAAGTCACAATGGCTCAGACATGTTTAAACCACAGGAGTGAATTTCAAACCTCCCCTTTTCTGAAATTTGTTGCCCTCATTATTTGTGACCAGTGTTTCCTGCATGGAATTACTGGTGGTGTTGCTACAGGAAACTCTATGCTACAACAACCTGCTTTATCTCTACAAGTCTGGCTTCTCAATAGCAGAGCCCGAACCTGCAGCACAAGTTCAGGCTTTGCTACAGATACTCCATCAAAATACTAAAGTATTTCAATTGTGGCTTCAGTCTGAAGTCTCTTTATCTTAAGTATAATTCACCAGAATCCTTCCCAGTTGAAGGATGAGACCACCACGATGGCTGTGAAGGGGGCTCTGACCTCACCATGAATAGCACTGGGTGTATTCAGGAATTTGATCCTATTAGAAATGCCCTGAAATGGAGGAGTCAAGTAGAAGTGTATGTTTATTTGAATCTAAAGTTCTCTGAACCTGATCTCTTGAGTGTGGTGACTTGCCTTAAAGTATCTTCAGGCATGGTAATATTATCACCTCCTGGTTCAACAACAGGGCAGGTATTTTCCAAGATTCCACTATAACTCGATATCCACACCATTGGTTAGAAATTAATTTTTCTAGCAAGGCCACAACAGATTTGATACCTCCATACCAAAATGGCTGTGAAATTGGGCCCCAAGTCCTATGAAACTAGATCCTGTTGTTGATTCAAGGACTGAATTAACAGGACAAGTGAAACACTGAACAAAGAGAATTGTTATGGTCTCTTGGCTAAAAAAACAGAATAATGCACTTGTATTCCTATTAGTTATAAATCAGGATCCAGTAACTGTAAAATTGAAAGACTGAAACCCCTTAACACTGGGGGCAGAGGAAGCAGCTGCAAGAGAGTCATTTTGAGTCTACTCTAGGTAACTCAATAAAGATGGCTGTCCCCTGGCTAGAAAGTTTTGCACAACGGTAGTTATTCGTGTTTTCTTAAGTGGAAAAAAATATGGAAGGAAAAGAATGACATCCACATCTAATTACCCACTTGTGAGGATAAGAGATATGGGAATTGGTCCCAGCTTCCCAGCACTTATATCCACTAGTAGCTTGTGAGGCAGTTTGCTAGAAGGTAAGTAGGTTTTTGCTGCTCAGCAGGAGTACAGAAGGAATTTTATTTATTTAGTTAGTTATTTAGGAGACTTCTATGCCGCCCCATTCGCCAAAGCCTCGGGGCGGCTCACATCCATATTATTCCATAGAATAATATAACGCTGCTATGCCTTACCATATGGCATCATGAGGTAGCAGAGGAGACACTGAGCTGTATAGTTCAACAGGATGCAGACACACAGACTGGCAATGCCCATCATGGGCCACTGATATTATGGCCCAAAAGTCTATCATTCTGAAGTAGCAATCCCCATGACTCCTTTTCCAAGATCCTCTTTGCTAAGTGTCCCCCTTCCTTCCGTCCTTCCGTCCTTCCTTCCAAAATCAGTGTCTAATGGTAAAAGTTCTTTCTGTGAGTGAAAAGCCCCACATATTTCTGCAGGTGGTAAAATATATGTGCTGTTATTAGGTACAACAGTGACATTCAGAGAGTTAAAGCAAATCAAAAATCTGCAACAGCTTTAACATTCTCACATATATCTTGTTGCTGCTCAGGAATGATAGTGTACCCAGTATTGAATTCAAAGGGTGGCTTAATAAAGCACAAATTCACCACCTTCTGAAGTGTTATAATACTAGGAAGCAGAGCAGAATGTACCAAATTCAATCCAGGGACATAATTTATACTGACTTTGGGAGGTGAGGGGAGAGAACATAAATAGTCAGCCTGGCTTGGCAGTTTCATGTATTTTGTCTATTTCAAAAAATTTGCCTATGTAAAAGAGCATCAAGAAATGTTCGTGTGACTTCTTCTATACTCACGTAAGCACACCTTAAACTTTGCAAAAGGTGGAGCTGCTCCTTTAACTAGCTCTAATAGCCATTAGTAAAATTATGGTGTATAACAAAACTAATGCTTGTGCAAACTACTTGTGCTGTTCACAGGCCCCATTTTTACATAAGTAGAAAGGTTCTCTGTTGTATCTCTACATAACATTAATATTTGAAACATTCTTCAAGGTGATTGTATCTATCAAATTTTCATGTAGATAGGCTGAACAAATGAAATAGTATTGCATTTTTAAAGGATAAGGCTGCTGTTGATTAAGGACTTGTCAGATCAGGCACTTTCCTTCAGTTTTCCCTGTGGTGCCACTGACTGGTAACTTTATACAAGGATTAGCATAGGCAAGTTGACATTACAGTATAAAGCATTCTACATTTAGGTATTTTTAGGGACCCAAAGTTCTGGAATGTTTGTGAGGGGAGTTAAACTTCTGTCTCCTCTCCTTCCTCACACTGACTACCTCTGAGACAAGATATTATTATTATTATTACTATTATTAGATAGATTATATAGATTAGATTATAGATTAGATTATATAGATTATTATATAGATAGGCTAAGAGACATGACCTGCTCAAGGCCACCACTTCATAGCCAAATAGGAATTTGACCCTGGATTTCCCAGCTTCAAAACCAAAACTCTAGCTGTGGTAAAGCAATACCACCCGGGATAGTTAGGTTGGGGGTGGGCGGTCAGATGAGGATGCTGGAAGCAGTGCAGTGGCCTGGGTCACTGAAATCTTCCTGATACCAAAGCAAACGTTATGCATGCACAGTATAAATAATTCTTTCCACTTACGGGGGAAATTTACTAATGTATTCCTTTTATATAAAACGGTATGCATTCATGGGCCCTCAGTACAAAAGAACAGAGGGCACAGTGTGTCAGCTCAGCTCATAAAAAATTCCATTTACAATAGCCCAGGAATTACTTGAGCACAAAACAGAGTCACCCTTAACACGACGTAGTCAGTTTGCAGCTAAGCAAGCGCTGTGATCAGGTAGGACTGACCTGAGGTTGACTAATGATGCCTCTGCAGCTCTAATAGAGCAAGTCCTGACATACCCTTCAAGCAACTGTCTCACTAAAGTGAAAGGACTAGCAGTGAGAGTTAATAGCCAACTAGATTTGCTCTTTTAGGACAAAAGGGACCTATTGTGCTTCTGTCAGGAGAATCAGAAAGCTGGATGGACTTTCTAAGAGACTCTGTCTGTTTCACATCAAACTAAAGAGACTGTCAGATCCAGTATTTGGAACAGAACTTTGCTGAAAATACTCTATATGAGGAGAAATTTGCAGTATCAACTAGCTTAATAAGAAGTCTGAATCACAGAATTAATAAAGTAATTGATTTACGAGTCTATCAACTGATTTCATACAGTAAAGCAGTCCTCTTATCACTCATTTCTATATGGAAATAGTTCATCTGGATATTTATCTGGACATACCAAATTCAAGAAGACACCCAAATTAAAACCCAAGGGGTAATTGGACCAGCTGCATGACTGTCACTGGTCCTTAAAAGGGTTTGGGTAGTCTTTGCAAAGGCTTCTGAGTGAGTAGTTGGCAAGCAACTGGGGCCTAGAACCCTCTGCAGAGTTTGCACCTTGCATGGACTGAGCCTTCAGCTCTGCCTTGCAGAATCATCTCAGGAAGCATTGGAGGGAGGGAGCCACAGGTTCCACTTAATCACAAGATATTTCTGCACAGGCACAGTGGGATTCAGGTTCATTTGCAATAATGAGAACGATACTAAATTTCCACAGTATCTGAAATACTGCAAAAATATTTAAAATAATGAAATGTGATAAAAGCATCTTTATTGGACCACTAGAGAAATATTTAGCCTAATAGCCTGAATGATTCATAGTGAAAAACATGCCAAGTGCCTTCAAACATAATTTAATGAAAGAATTAACAGAGAACATTATCCTTAAAGAAAAAATCATATTACATAAACATTTAACTATTTGCTTTATGTTACAATCTATCCTTCATTTAAAATGAATATTAGCTAGTATGGGAAAATTATTTTTCTAAGATCTGTTTATTTTTTTCTGTTTATTTAAGGGTTTTAGCAGCAAGATAAAGTTCAGAAATTTTCATAATATCTAAACATTTAGAAAGTAAGTTCTCTTAACAAACCATAGTGCCATAAGGTATCAGAAACAAATTTCACTGACTTTGGTACATGAGTTATAATGCCTAAAACAAGTTTATAAGTAACATCCTAGCAAAATGCACAGTTTTTAAAAAATGCACCTATTTTGGCTCTTGTTTTTCCCTCACAAATCTTTGTGACAAATACTAAGCAATCTTAGGCAAGTTTCAAAGTAGTTGCTTGCCTGAATGATGTGTGCTAGTCTACAATAAATAAAATACATTTTTTTACACAATTCTGTGTTTGGAAAATAATACTATCAGTGGACTCCCTGTCATCAGTTAGGAATTCACACTGTTTTAGAGCTTGAACAGTACTACTGTGAAACTAGAGCACACTTGATGATTACAGGTCTCAGAACAACAAAAAAGGCGTAAGAGTTTGAGATACGTTGGTCCTTTATATACAGTTGCCATATTTTGGCACCAACAATAATGACTTTGCAAGAGCCATATTCTACGCAGATGGATCCCATATTCTAAGTAGATGGTTTCTTTTTGGATTTGTGTAGGCCACTAAGGGTAGTTGATTTGTGTGGACTTTTGACTGACAACGCTTGAGTTGAAAAAAAAGGAGACTTTTCCATTTCAGTTTTCTTTTCTTGACTATCCAGGCTGTGCTTTACAATTGATCCTGGAGATGCTGACCCAGTTCCGCCACTCTGAATCTTAAAAACAACACAGCAACAACAAACAATTAACATGGAGGGCAGTGCAACAGTGAATGTATTGACCTGAGCTGTGAGAAGAGGGGACAGTCTTGTACAACCAAAGTGGAGGGCAAACTGGGAATATCTGGCCCTCCAACTATACACTCTTTCCCCTGCTACTCTACAGGTGAGGACTTGGCTAGGGAAAAGATCATAGCAAGAAAGGTTTTGGACAAGGTTATTTCAGCATTAAAACTTCAACACAAAGAACTCAGTTTAGAGAGGTGGCTACCTTTGTTTCCCCAGTGTGAAAGAACAGAAATTATTTATGCTGGGACCAGAGCAGGCAAAAATTTTATCCCATGTTGATACAAGGCCATCCCCCAATCCACCCATGCCATGCCTCCAAGCCACTCCTATTCACTTCTTCAGATGCTAGAGCTCTGCAGAACTCTCTACAGGCACTGAGGAGAGAACTAAGGTTCATTGCCCTCCTCTAAGTTACAGCACTCTCTCTGACCTTGCGAGGGAAGAGCTGACACTTCCCGTGTCCCTGGATTGTGCAGCTAGTGGCCACACAACTGTCATCTCAGCGTTTCCAAATACTTCTATTCAGTCTGATAGTGTGGGCCGCTGTATGTTAAACTGTAAGTAAAAACACTGCCAGCCTGCCACACATGCAAGTGGCTTTGGAGTATGTGGAACCATCAGGTAGGTTAACTGCTAGGCACAGCTCACCTGAAGGCTTGTGCGAACCAGCAGTCCCCCACTCAGGCATCCTCTAAATGCCAGTGCTCTGCTTTCCATGCTTGTGGTGCTTTTTCTCATCACAGGAACCAGACCATTTTCAAAAGGAGAAATTACACAGAGGGACAGGCTCACACAAAAAAGCCTCCATGAGATCCCAACTTGATGCTATCCCAGTGCCAATGCAAGGAGAGAGTTCTGTGTGACTCAACTGCTTAAATGGGGCCCACCACATGACTTAATTGTCCATGTGATTAAGAAGTGGTAAGTTTTGGTAAATATACTTACACTGCAAGTTGACTTAATAGAGGAACTCTTCTTTCTAAATGTCCCATTTGGTAAAGCATTGTAACTTTTTTTCTTGTTAGCCTGAGAAAAGGAATAAAGACCAATCTGCTTTTAAAAAGAATTCAGAGATAAAGAATCAAATGGAAAAGATCTTGGCAATAAACACACTTTTACTCTAACACAGATTTTGCTTGACCAATGTTGCTCTGTACTATTCTCTAGTTTAGCAAGCTATTTAATCTGATAGGTACTAGGTTAACTTGTACTTGTTTTGTTGGTGTGGAGGGTTTGCTGCTTCCACTCTCTGTTTCTGTTTCTATGCTGCGATCTGAGTTGCCATTGTTGCTAACAGGGCTGTCTTGTCCTTCACGACTTTCTTCCTGTTGTGTAGTGGATGATGCACCATTCAATTCATCTTCAAGAACACCTGCTTCTCCACATTCTGTGCTGGTGCTGCTATTCCACCTCTTCATCAGTTCAAGGACATTAAATGGCCTCTGAACAATGTCTGTTTCACCCTAAACAGTAAGTTTAAAAATTATGAACAACAGAACACAGAAGTAGTTTGCTTGTGTGCTGCTGGACTTGGCTTCAGGAAGCCTAAGTATTTCTTTAATTCTCTCAGAAAGGTTATAAACCATCACAACAGATTGTAAGTAGTCAAGACAGAAAACGCCTGCTTTCTTTTTAAAAGAAAGTCACCCCTTGCTTTATTTGCAAACAACCTCAAGGAATTGCTTTACAGCTGGTCCTATACATCTTTTAATAAGACAAATAGCAGCTTTCTACAACACATATCTTGGTTTTGGTCAGAAACAGCAAATGTCTCAAGGAAATCAATTTAAAGATCAATCCTATACACATTTAGACAGAAAAATACCTACAACTATCACAGGATTGGCCCCTCAATCATTTACAGGTGTTTTAACCTTACTACAGTATCACTTGCAACATCTGGACACTGTGATTAGCCATATCTTCTTTCTTCTTAAAATGGCAAGATGAAGCACCTCCCTAAGAGCAGTTTGCTTAGAAAATGAGCAAAGTAGTACACCTACCAAGAAGTAAATGGCTTTGATAAACCTTCTGATCCTTCAATGTTCTTCAGTGTCAAAGATGCAAACACTAATTAGCAGCTGGATAGCCAGAGATCTAGTTGCTAAGCCATTTAAAACTGTGTCCCTAGAGCATTATCTCCAAATTCTCCATGTTGCCTGGGAAGGTGATCTAGTGCAAAACTGGCCATACAAGAAAAATGGGCAAACTTATACTAGTTTTCCTCTACTGGCATGAACAAAAGGAATAGTTCCCACCCTTTATTCATTAGGCCTGGGACCTTCAGAAGTGTTTATATCACCTACTCCCCATCAGGTTTCAATCTAATTAAACCACATGGTGTGCCCACTGAATTGGTTTTGAGAATCCTCAGAGGTAAATAACACTGTTCAGGAAGCACTATGAAACCCACAGCAGGAACAATACCATGTCCCCTTAGCAGTCATTAAAGGCTGAACCATACACACTTAAGATGCGCCTTTCTGCAAACAACACAAGAGCAGGGAAATCAAGCTTCACCTTTCTCCTTTATACATCTCTATTTTCCATTTCAGTAGGAAGAAAAGCCCCCACCACACACACACACTCACCCCACCCCACCCCTTAGGGGGAATTCTCATTAGAAAGAAAGGAATAACCCCCACTTTCTTGGTGTTCCACTACATAGGACAAGCTCCTCATTCACAGCAGCCTCCTACAGGAAGAGCCTCTTACCATGTCCTTCAACTCTAGATTAGATCATTTCTGCACTCCAACTTTACTTCTTTCCATCTCTTACGTTATCTATGCAAACATCTATGGGTCCTCCCTCAGGCAAAGATCCCACTGAGAGTTTAGTCTCTTGCTACCACCTGATTAGGCTTCCACTGATCTGTCTGGCCCTACTCACTCTCCTGTTCCCTTACTTGGCATTCTCAGTCTCACCTGCCCATATCATGTGCATGTTCTTCCACATCTCCTTTGGTCTTTCTAAAGTTCTAGCCATATCTAGACATTACAACTTGGATTCTAAGTAAAGGTCCATGAACAATTAAGGACCTTTCTTCAGTGGAAAGGACTTCAATCTAGCAGTCTTTGGTGAAGGAAGAGACAGGACTTTCAATAATTCCCTTCCCTTCTACAGCCCCTATACCACCACCCCACTTATCCAGAAGGTCCTTCAAACATCCGAAGATTTCTAGAAGTACAAACATTGATCCCCCACATTTTTTACTTGCGGGTCTGCCCATGAGTTACTTGGGTTTCAAGCCCATATATTTTATCTTCTCTTCCTTTTTTTTTTTTTGGTAATAACTCATGTACTGGTGTACAAATAATAGACTTTGGCTTCCCATCCTTCTCTTTTATTCCCCATGTGGAAATGTAACTTCCTGGCACCCAATGCCTCAAGAAGAAAAACCTAGCACAAGTTCTTTAGTTATACAAGTGCACTGTGTGGGCTGTGCTGCGCATGTGCAAATGAGGCCACATGGTAACACATGAGACAAAAAAAATCAGCAGAGACAAAAGCAGAATGAACTACAGAGAAGGACTGGTGCGGTCAGGCTGCCAACTACCCAGAGAGGTATCGGCCTTTATATTTAACAGTGCAGATGCACCAGCGAGCATTACTTCCACCTTCCTGGACTTGTGCTCTCTGCCTACTCTCATCTGCTGAAGCAACAAATAGCATCTGGACAGGAGGAGCAGCAGCAATGCCAGGACTGGTAGTCTGGAGGGCAGAGGGTATGCAGATGAGCAGGCCAAGATGAGCTCAGACTGAGGAGCCCAGGTGCCATCTTATGCAAACGTGACTGGCATCTGCAGCACCATCCTTTGGCCAGTCAACTGGTTGGTGTTGTGGAAAGACAGAGCATGCCAGCTATGAGGGTAGCACAGAGTGTGAAATGCCTGAACCTCACAGGTGGAGGCCCTGGTGCCTAACGGTTAAATGTTGCATATGCTTTGTTAAAAGTAACCTCAGAGTATTACTATCAAAACCACCCATCACAGGGCAGTGGCCTAACTAAAACTTTCTTGGTACATGACCCCGGGCACTTTTTACTGCCTACAAATGCAGCCATCTCTATGGAATCCTAAGCAATTACTTTTGAAAATAAGCCAGAATAGGGAAAACAGCCTTTTCATGACTTTTTTGCTACTACGTCCTGCCCTCACTCTAAATCAAAGCCGTCTTATTATCATGCAGTAAAATTCAGCTATAGGATGTCATAGTACCAGTGGATGATCACAAAATTCACATAACTGGGATCATTAGTTACAAAAAGACAACCCAAATAAGGCTATTATTTACTTAAAGTATTTTTACCCGATTCTTCCTCCAAAAAAATATGCTCTGGTTTACAAAGTTCAATAATAAATTAGTTCCTGCCCTCAGGGTTACAGTCACCACACAAGAGGAAGCCAGGGGAGCAGAAGGAAGCCCAAACACTCAATCGAGCAAACAAGTACAGAGGTTCAAATGCTGGAAGTGAAAGGAAACGTCCCCTACTCTGAAAGAGAATCCCTTTTTTGTTTAAAAAATATTTCAACACAAAATGCGGTTTAGTCCTAACTATTTCGCCTTATGAAGCCAATTCTTCTCATTATGTAATGCCTATGAACACACTCAGATTGGAGTCCCTTTAAATTAAATGGGTGTTAAATAAATCACTAAAGACTCATTTTTACTGGATTCTGGCTCAATTATTTGCTCACATTTCCCATTTAATATATTATGAGAGAAATAATCCCCAAAGTTTTAGAAACCAATACATACTATCTGCAATGCATAAAGAAATTGCTATATGATACTACATATTTAAAGACACATTGTAAACAATACCACATAAGACATACTATTGTTTTTAAAAGTTTGCATCTATATGCAAATGAATCTTTTCCATTAAAAAATTCAACAAGACATTTCATGCACATTATGGCAATAGAAACGCAGGGCCGTCTGAATAGATTTGTGTCTTTCTTTCTCCAACCACTAGCTTATATTGTGCTCATGAACAGTCTATTTTAGTCCTTGTATTTCCATGGTTTTACTGCTAGACAGGTAGGTAGATGTGTGTGTAGGAACACACGTGTGTGTTTTGAGCAGCGGGGCTTGAGATAAAAGAAGCATGCACAAAGAGAATTACCTCTACATGAATCAGGGTAATATATTCCCAAGTCCTTCTGAATTTGTAGAATGATTTTCAGATGTGGACTCCAATTTTGCAGGTGCAAATTTACATCTGTAATTAACTGTAGACAAAATGATGTTGCAGACATCCAAATAACTACCTTATTTGCAAGCTCATTCAGGTAATTAAATTTCTAAGTGCACCAAATCGCACCTACAAAATAAGAGGCTGAGTTGTGGCCTCAGGAAAAAACCCTATGTTTTAAAGAGCTACAAATACTTAAATAGCACATGAAATGGGAGGGTGGTTGTGTTCTGACAGTTTTTAAGAAAGTGGAACCACTTAAGTTAATTGTCTGTATTGCTTCATTTGAACACCTGTTGAGTTTAATTGGCTAGCATCTGGTGCTAATTGTGGGGAAAGTGGAGGATTACTAATTGGTTGCCTTTTAGATTGTTTCATTTTCTTTTGTCTTTCCTTCAAGCTTTTTCAGTTCAGAGTTTAAGGGAGTGCACGTCAGTAAGATTCAAAGCACAGAATGAAACAGTATGCCCTTCCATCATGTGGTACCCAGCATATGTCAGAAGCACATTTTCCACTTTGTGATCTCTACCAGATTCAGCTCTGAATGGCAATACTCCCACACTGCAGCACCCAGAGGGAAATAAAGGTTTGTTGAAGAAACTGTTCAAAAAGTAAGAAGAAGCTGTAATTGCAGAAAGACTCTCCTATGGTATTTTGCGTGTGCTGGAAGAGTCATGAATAGGACATAGTGGGACTGCTGAAGTGTTAACTGATCAACAGTTTATAATAGACAGAGCATGCACACCTACAAATATAACTGAGAACATACTTCTGTGCCCAATATGGGTGAAGAACTTGTCAAGGAAAAGGCACAAAGAAAAACAAAGGAGAGAAAAAGCCTCAGTATCTAAAATTAAAATGAAGCAATCATGAATAGTGGAAATAAACACTAGCAACAACATAGTCCATTGAGTGTAAGATGGATTTGCTGAAGTAAAATGGATGTTTGTATACACTAGCAGGTTACACATTGATACAAATTCAGGTTATGCATAAGCAAAATTGCAAGCATTGTGTCTCTTTGAAGCACTTGTAAAATGCACAAATTAGTTTTTCCAAATGCTTTTGTACATTAATCCTTAAGAGTCAGACATCATTTTTGAGAGCCAGTCATCAAACATTCAAAAGACTACATAAATGTGGTGTGATTATTGTATTTTAGTTACAAATTTCAGGAAATTCACTAGAGAAAACTGAAGGCAGAAAAGGAAGGAAGAAAAAAAGGAAGACCAAATAAGAGATGGATTGACTCCATAAAGGGGAGCCAAAGCCTTGAATTTAGAACAGTTAAGCAGGGATGTCACGGGCTGAACATTTTGGAGGGCTTTCATTCATAAGGCTGCCATAAGTTGGAGATGATTTGATGGCACATAGCAATATAAGAACAACCTCTGTCAGTGTGTGGGCACAAGGACATACATGATAACTGGACAAATTTAAACTTGGGTAAACAATGCAAGGGGGGAAAAAGCAAAGAAGGCAAAGTGCTTCTAGAAAACCTCTACCAGTGAATGGAGAAAATATGATACTGTTATTGAAGATTAACTATTTCTCAATCTGTCCTGAAGGATGGCTAGTCACCTACAGAAGCATAGATTTTTAAGCTGGCAATATCAAATATTTTGTATACAATGGTACTAGAAAGATTCTGCAAATTCCTGCCCAAAATTTTAATATTTCAACAACTCTCCTTTGCCAAATTATGAAAAGTTTCAATGATTATAAACCATGTCGGGCATTTCCAAGCTAGTTCATAACACATCTTACTTACCATTGTGATAATTAGTAGTTAATGTAGTCACTATCGGCATCACCTCCTTTATTATGACCATATTACACCAGTGCTTTGTGATCTGCCCTGGCTTTCGGTCTATCTCTAGGCCCAGAGCAGGGAGAAGGAAAGTTTTGTATGCTAGCCCTGGAGCACACTTTTTCCTGGTTTAGGAGGTTTGTCACAGCAATGAGACTTCACCCACAGAATGACTCTTTTCATTTCTACCAATGACAGGGCCCTGATATTGGAGGAGCAAGGACTGGAAAGGAGGCGAGGCTGGAAAGGAGGCTGTAGGGTCAGGCCTGTCTCTGTATACCAGGAGAGGGTGAGCAAAAACAGCCCCTTGAACTGTTTCCAAGAGACTGAAGGATTATGGTCCAAAAGTCTTGGAACAAATAGAAATGTATAACATCTGAAAAGGTAATCCAAAACGCATAATGTCATATCAGTGTCTCTGATTTCCATGGAAACTATTACTTCCAAGAGTCACCAAAACTGTATATATAGTTAGGAAAGAAATATAATGTTTGTAGGTTACTTGTAATGAAATAAAACTTATTTGCTTAAAATTGCAGTCCTTTCCACATTTATCTAGGAGTAAGTCCCAATGAATTTAATAGGGCTTACTTCTAAGTAGACATGAACAGGACCGCAAAGCAAAATTGATACTGGCTATTTTAATTGCTTTGAGGAACAGCCCTCCTTGAACTCCACTTAAATGAAGCTTACAGGAGCTCCCAATGGATTGTGTCCTTGATTGTTTATTTAGAATGCAACATGCCAATTTTTTTTTTAATGTCACATCTTGTTATGTAGAATGATGACTTATGCCTTTTAACATTTACGTTCAGGTAGCTACAGTCTCCTGATGGGAGAGTTCAATGCCATATGCATCAACTCTGAAGAGCATCATGTTCCATTTGGCATCAAGGGGTTAAGTGTAGAATCCTCTACATGATAAACCACTTTCAATGTGACACATCTGGACAGTCTGAAATTGCCCGGGCTGTCAGGGCAGAAGTTTGAAGCCTGAACTACTGCTGAACACCCTAATGATATGGTAAAGCCAGAGTTTGAAAACTTTCTTTTGCTGTATGCCCTATTCCCTCGAGAGCCACGTGCTGCTGTTGGTGGGCAGAGCCAACCAACTCTTCATCTTTCTGACACCCCCCCCCAACCCACTTCTCTCTCTGTCTTCTCTCTCCCATGCTGCCACAGGATGGAAATAAGTCCAAATGAAATTAGTTTGAAAGCCTCACATTGTCCACCCCGGCTTTCTTGGCATTTCTGAAAGTTAGGCTTCCAAAGGATATCTTTAAAACACAGCAGTGTGTGTGCATGTAATAAATGAAGCTTTAACTTGCACATCTTCAAGAAATTTAAATGTTTCTTACTAATGTGTCTCCCAGTGTCTTTTACGATCAAAGTCTGTTCCATTTTATATCAACTTTTACTCCCTCCTTTTACAGTTCTCTGTCCAAGTCCACTGAATCATCTGAAACTACTAGGAAGAAACAACTTCACAAATAAAAATAAGGACATTTTAAAGAAAGTGACAGGAAAAACTTACTGTTATCCACTGGGAGTCAAGCAGTTCATTAGCCGTGATTCTGTGGGCAGGGTCTACTTTAAGAAGCAACTGCAGCACATTTTTGGCTATAAAGAAAGACACCCTTTAAACAAACCTGTAAAACTAAAATGTATATTTCTGGGCTTTGACTGAATGTTTAAAGTAATTTCCCCATTTTTAGAAGTGCCCATTACTCATTTTCATAAAATCAGAATGGATAAATCTGATGTGTTCACATGACACCTCTACTTAAAGTCACCTTTAGTAATATGTTGGTCATTACACACACACTATTATTATCATTATATTGTCGTTGTTGTTGTTGTTATTCAATACTGCTTGCATCTCTCCAGCCACCCCGATTATATAAATCTGCCAATCTGAGGATAATACTTTGCACATCTGCTGAAATAGACAATACCCAAGAAAGTTTGTGAGAATAAATTTATTCATCTTTTAAGTTGCCCACAAATCCTTCATTATTTTTGTAGCAAAAGGCTAACACCGCTACCTCTGTGGAAATTAAATTTCAGACAGCTTTCTCAAAATAGGCTAATGGTATCTTAAGAGTTAAAACATACAAAAATATAAAACAAGGCAGAACAGCTAAAAACAATAAAATAACAAAAGCTGATAAACAAGAAGTACCACCATATGCTGTCAAATGTCTAGGAGTAAAGTCTTGAACAGGTGCTGAAAAATGAGAAGGTTTGCACCAGGCAGATCTCAATGGGGATAAAATTCCATAACCAAGGAGCCACCACCAAAAAGGTCCTCTCCCTTGTTAACATCCCCTAGACCTCCCTGGAAGAATGCCCTCCAAGGAGGGCCTCAAATTGATCAGTGTACAAGCAGTCTCATACCAGAAAAGGCACTGCAACAGGTATCCCACTTCTGAGCTGTTTCGGGTTTAGAATGTACACGTTGCTGATGCTAATGGGCCAGAAAGAGGGTTGGATATTCAGACTCTAATCCCCATTCTAAATCTGACCATTGCCTTTTGGAGAAGCTACAGTTTCCAAACAGTTTTCAAAAGCAATCCCATGTTGAGTGCACTGCAGTAATGTAACTTGGAGATTATCGGGGCATAGGCTACTACAGCTAGCATACAGATACGGCATAGCTGGACCATTAGCCAATGCTGGCAGAAGGCACTGTGTGCCACTGAGACCACTAGACCCTCATATGACGCTAACAGGCCCTGCAAGCTATGAACCTGCTACTTCACAAAAATGCAACCCCATCGAAAGCATAGCGTGCATGCCACACATCTGTGTGCCATAACTCTTAAACTTCATTTCTGCTAGCTATAACATATTACCCAGTTGGTTCTGAGTGTCTTAATCCCACAGAATATTTTAACCCTAATACACCAAAGCTAATTCATAGCAGCCATTTTGTATATTATCTTAACATCAGTTTTATATTTAAGAAAAAACACATTCTGTAAGATTAAACTATTGCAACAGTTTGCTGAAGCTTATGCTGGTATGTTGTAGCGTAGCTCTCTACTTACCAGTCTCCCCGATGGATTCCCAAGTTGAATGTTTAAAATGAAGGTCTCCTTTCTTTATGACTTCAAAAAGTTTTTCTTCAGAGCTTGCTATAAAAGGTGGCTCACCACATAATCTATTTTGGAAAAGGAAGGAAAAATAAGTCTTCTTTATATTCTGATTATGTAAATATACCCCTGCTTTCCTATCAATGTCTTCATCTGTATGTTCTCTTTTTTTATTTTTAGGGTGGCATTTTTCACGGTTGAACAATTCTGCCAGGACAGCAAACTGCCCGGGCAGAATATCATCAGCTGAAGGGGAAAAGTGAAAAAGCATGGGCAAAAGGATGAGCTGGGAAGCTGCCTTATTCCCAACTCCACATTGTCAAATATGGAGAAAATGGTATACAACTGTTTTGCTGAAACATTTTTTATAGTGATTATCTAAGCCAGAGACCGCTAAGGTTCATGGTCACTCAGAAGACTAGACTTGAAACTAGTCAAGCAGCTGGAGAAACTTTGAAGGAACAAGAAAATGTTCTTCTACTTTCCAAGCATCCTTACATATGGGAGTTGGGTTCAGGTGTACACTATGCTTCTGTGGTTCCTACTATACAGAAGCCTATGATTCCCCTTCAGGCCCTGATACTGGTGGATGAAGCATTGTTTTCTGTGCTGCAACTGTGGAACACCCTCTCTATGGAACCGCAGTGGGGGGTTTTACTGTGCACTCCCACACAGCAGCTAAACTCACCTTTCCCCTTCTTCCCTCCCTTTTGCGCTCAACCTTTGGTGTTCTCATCCTGGCTTTTTATACCACAATTTCCTATGAAACTGGGATTCAATTGCTACCTACAGGCCAGGATAAGAAACCATGGCTCATTTTCAGCCTAGTAAACCATGCTTTACTGGCTCAAGATCATGAAGGCTGAACCAGGCTAGAGGCTTCTCATACTAAAGACAGTTGTAGTTGTGCTGCTGTAGGCTCTTGGCTGCACTGGGCTATAAACATAAAAAGAGCTTAGTAGTGTGTGTAACAGAGGATGGAGGGAAAAATCAGATTGCTTCAAAAACGATGCAGGGCAAGATTGTCTTGGAGCAACTGCAACAAGTTTCATTTCCCAGCCTTCTCCAAAAAAGTTCAGAAAAGCACAGGGACTCCTAGAATGAAACCTCCAAACATAACTATGTACACATTCTGTAACTGTTCCTTAAGCAAAGAAAAATGGTTTTAGAGATGACTCTTTGTTGTTGTTGTTTTAAAGTCTACTTCTCAATAGGAACATCATAAGATTATCTAGCCCGGACTTCAGTTCCCATACTGGCCAAGCAGCCATCTACAGCAATCCTAGAACATGCAATCCCTCCTGTAGTGGGACTTTTACAATATAGCACTAAAAACTATGATAATGTATTGGTCTGTCAGACTCAAACTTAAAGCTTTGTTTACATCTGAGTGTAAAATGATTTTAAAATGCCATACAACACTCAAAGATGCAAATGAAACTGATTTGTACAAGACTGATCTATTATTTTGAAGGACTAATAACTATGAATGACTTCAACCACGCTTCCCTGATAGGCCAAAATATAACCCCACTAAGGACAGATCTAACCTGAGATATGAACATGAGTGACCATGTAAGACAGCTCAGGAGAACACTCCATTTCCTGCCCAATTTCTCTGCAAGAGTCCCTTCTGGCTCTTGCCCTCCCCTGCATATGCCTCATCTTACTACAGGCTGCCTCTCGGGATTTTGACATCTATTCTAAGGTGATTTCTGGACCAGTCTCTTCTAACCAGTTTTCAGTAATTTGAATGTTCCTACAAGCACCTAGACCCTAGTATCTCACTGAAAAATATTTCCCTAATAGACTGTCTCCTCACAATTAAAAATCAGAAATTCAACCAATTATCTATATTTTACCAGTCCTACCAGTAAATGGGAGTGTGTTACAAGGAAGAAAACAAAGGGGGATTAAGGGGAGGAGGATGAGAAGAAGAGAAAAATGGAGCTCCCCTTCTGAACTCTGTTTGGCTATTTGTATCCCAGAGTCCTGAAACCAGCCAGGGCAGCTTCTTCCAATCTACTCAAGGGAATCAGGAACCAGAATGAATCCATCCACCCACATGCTGCTGCTAGTAATCAGGCCACTCCCTTTCAGTTGCAGCTCTCAGGTACACATAACTGCTTAGAAGGGAATCCTGAGGGAAGGGAAAATGAGGAGGAAACTACCTGGAAAAAGGTGACAGCTAGTCACAGAAGAACTAAAAGACACTCTGCACCAGTGGAAGCAGTGGAACTCTTGACCCACTTTCAGTTACTCAGGGATGAGACTGGAGGGTAGCCTGCTGTGAAAGAACTGCAAGACATACCATGCAACACTGAACAAGAGGCTAAAGGTCAACCAAGTAGTGACAATGACACAAAGACCTGCAACAACAAGAGAAGAGTGCTAGTTGTGGGAGATTCCCTGTTGCGTGGGATGGAAACACATTATGTCAGGAAGACCTGTAGACTCGTCAGGAATGCTGTCTTCATGGAAGACAGATCAGTGGTATAACTGAAAGATTGCCAAGGCTCATAAAGCCCACCAGACACAGATCCCTTCCATCTTATACATGTGGGAATAAATGGCACTGCCAAGTGGAGCTTTGAAGAAATCATGTGAGACTTTGAAACTTTAGGGAGAAAAGTCAAGAACTCTGGAGCCCAGATAGTTTTTCTTCAATCTTTCCAGTTCTTAGAAGAGGGATAGACAGGGAAAGAAAAATTCTACAAGTGAATGTTTGGCTACAAAGGCAGTGCCAACATGAGATATTTGGATTCTGGGATCATGGGCTGCACTTCCTGGATGATGGACTCTTGGCAAGGGATGGGCTAACCTTTCAAGGACTGGAAAGAATGTATTTAGTCACAGCATGAAGAAGCTTATCAGGAGGGCTTTAAACTGAATCCTACAGGGGAGGTGAGAAGTACACCTGGGCATAACAACAGACAAAGGCTTAGGTACGACAACAGAAAGAGCGGCTCTAACAGTGCCTAATAATCAACTTGCAAAAATGTAGGAAGAAAGCAAGAATATACAGCATGAGATCTTCAGTGTCAATGTCCTATACTCCAATGCCTGGAGTATGGGAAATAAGCAGCATGAACTCAAACTCTCAATACAGGAGAGTGAATATGACTTGATAGGTATAACTGAAACTTGGTAGGCTGACTCCCTTGACTGGAATTCAACAACTGAAGGATATAGCCTGTTCAAGAAGAACAGAAGGAACAGAAAGGGAGGCGGAGTCACACTATAAAGATACATATCTCTGCACAGAAATACAAAAGGATGAGCTTAGTAGCCCCATTGAAAACATCTGGATTAATATAAATGGAGCAAGGAATAAATGGAACACAAGGGTTGGAGTCTATTACTGTTCATCCAGTTGAGAAGAAAATGAGGATGAAACTTTTGAAAAGCAAACTGTCCATATTTCAAGGAGGCATGGTGTTGTCATTATGGGGGACCTCAATTTCCAAGATATCTGCCAAACACAGACCCTCCAAGAGATTCCTAATATGTGTTGCTGATAATTTCATCCAACAGAAAGTGGAGGAAGGAACATGAGGAACTACTGTCCCTAACTTGATATTAACCCAAAGGGGAGACCTAGTGGACCAAAGTGACAGCTACGGGAATTCTGGAGGAAAGTGAGCGTGCCATACTTGAATTTTTGATTCTAAAGGAAGCAAAAGCCAAACATGTACTTTAGATTTTAGGAAAGCCAATTTTAATTAACTCAGATCAAGATAAGTAAAGTCCTATAGCAAGTGACCCTAGAGATAAAAGATGTCCAAAATGGATAAGGATATTTAAAAAAGGAATTGCTTGTAATTGTGTCTTTAGTATTTCCAACAAGGAAAGGGGGTTACACAAAAGCTTAGAGATAATTTGAAAACAGAAAAGGCATATATAGGAAGTAGAAGGAAGGCCAAGCTACAAAGGAAGCTAGCAGGCTGGTAGCACGGAATTGTAGAGATGACATCAGGAAGGCTAAAGCTAAGAACAAATGACAGTGCTAACCGGAGCTTTGAAGAAATCATGTGAGACTTTGAAGCTTTAGGGAGGAAAGTTCCTAAAGTTTTAGCAAGGGATGCTAAAAGTAACAAAAAAGCATTCTTCAGATATGTCCAAAGTAAAAGACAGAGGAAAGAAATGGGGGTTCAGCTAATCAATGTGGATGGCAAAATGGTAACAGGTGTCAAAGAAAAGGAAGAAGTGCTCAATTTCTGCTTTAGCTCAGTCTTACAAATGAAATTACAGGCTGAAGGAGCAGGATGGCAACTCCAGATTGACAGGCAAATCATCAAGAATCACCTAATTGGATTGAATGAGTTCAAATTTCCAGGGCCCAATAAACTCCATCCTAGAATCATAAAGGAACTGGCGAAAGAACTCTCAGAACTGCTATTATCTTTCAGAAATCATGGAGGACAGGGGAATTGCCACATGACTGGAGAAGAGCTAATATTGTCCCTCTCTTCAAAAAGGGGAAAGAAGACAACCCTTGGAACTAAAGACCAGTCATCCTTGGGAAAATTCTGACGCAGATTATAAACAGTTATTCTGCAAACATCTTGAAAACAATGCAGTGATTAATATGGATTCAATATCAAGTGAATCCATAGTTGGATACAGAACCGGATCATCAATGGCACCTTCTTGAACCGAGAAAAGGAACAAGGGTTCAGTCCTGGGTCCAGTGCTCTTCAACATTTTTGTTAAGGATTTGGATATGAAAGTGCAGGGAACGATTATCAGATTTGCTGATGACACAAAACTGGATGGGACAGCTAATACTCAGGAAGACAGAAAGAAGATTCAAGATGATTGAATCTTTTGAATAGGTTGGAATGCTGGGCTAAAAACTACAGAATGAAATTCAGTAGGGACAAATGCCAAGTTCTGAACCTAGGAAAAAGAAACCAAATGCATTGCTACAAGATGGGGAATATTTGTCTCAACAATATTGCAAGTAAGATCTTGGGATTGTTGTGAATCACAAGCTGAATATGAGTCAACAATGCAATATGGATGCAAAAGAGAAAAAAAAAGTAAATGCTATTTTAGGTTGCATTAATGGAAGTATCACTTCCAAATCATGTGAAGTGCCAGTTCCTCTTTACTAAGCACTCGTTAGACCTCATCTGGAGTACATTGTCCAGTTCTGGGCACCACAGTTTAAGAAAGATGCAGACAAGTTGGAAAGGGTTTAGATGAGAGCAACAAGGATGATCCAGAGACTGAAAACAAAGCCCTATGAGAAGAGATTGAAAGAACTGGGCATGTTTGGTCTCAAGAAGAGAAGACTTAGGGGAGATATAATAGTGCTCCACAAGTACTTGAAAGGCTGTTACAAAGAGGAAGGTTGGGAACTTTTCTTAATCATCCCAGAGTGCAGTATATGGAACAGGCTCAGATTACAGGAAGCCAGATTCTGGCTAGATGTTAGGAAAAAATTCTTGACTGTTAGATCAGTATGACAATGGAAGCAATGACCCCTTCCATGTATACTATTCATACAATGTATAGCATGGCTTTTCTTATGTTCTTTTGTTCTTAAAAGGAATCTGTGGCTTTCCAGATGTTGTTGGATCTCAGCTTCCATCTAACCCAGCCAGTATATTGTCAGGGATAACAGAAGTCACAGTTCAACAACATCTGGTCACAGGCTCCCCACCATTGGTTTAAAGGTATTCACAGTTCATAAGCTGTATTTTTTAACATATGTAAGCCTCATATGTTAAAAAAAGTGAATTAATTGCAAGCGACAGCTGAACAGAAATGAGGTCAGATTCACCAAATAAATTATCTGGTATTAATTTTAATTTTATGTCTGTTATCAAAGGACAGAATGAGTTTTAAAAATGTTGTCACTTATGTTTGATGGATGTCTGTCATTTTAAATCAGAATACAGAATAATTACTGTCAGGCTTGCTTAAACTTGCTGAATATTTCCTTACTGTCAGGCTGAAAATATTTCCTGAAAAAACTTTCACTATTAGATTGATTGCCTTATTTGATCTGCTTTGGTACTATTGTTTCCTTCCAGAGACTGGTTAAAATGCCCATTACTGGTTCTCTCTCCTTCCTGGACAGCCACATAAGTAATTCCAAACAACTGGAGATCACAGTACATTGATGGACAGCTGTTTTTCTGTCAAGGGTTGCACTCCTTCATGGCTTATCCTTTCATGGTGACAAGGCCAACACAGCAGTAAGTATGGCAAGAGCCAGAAGTAAGTGGATCACCCTTTTGTCCTTTCTTTTTGTGCTACCTCCTTTTATTCTCTTTCCTTCCTCCTCATTCAGAGGGACAGACTGCTCTTACCAAAGGTCTGAATTATTCACATGCAAAGGATTTTTGAAATTAGGCTAAAGGCCTCATGTGTCTGTAGGGCCACAGGTTGCCTACCACAGTGTTGTGAAATGTCATACAGCTTTATAGCCAATCAGATCTGTCTATATTATTATGACTCTGAGGTTAAATGAAGTCAATTGAGAATGAGGGCAACACTTCCTGAATATTTCATGTGGATGATCTCAGTCAATCAAGGATCAACACAGTAACTGGGGGTGCCATCACTGCAGTTTAGCAGTCAATCAACTTTAGCTAAATGGCAGAAAAATCATAGAAAGTGGGAAGAATTATTAAAACACTGCCAAAAATATTCCTGAGTCCAGGGAGTATTTTTCCCCAATTCCTTCTGAAATCATGGCTACTTTTCCAGATGCAGTGATAAAAATACTGACCAGAAATAATGCTAGGTTAGGCCTGTAGAACTTGTGATCCATCAAGCCAAATATAGGCCACAAGGAGCTCAGTAAAAGAGTAATTGCTTGTCATTTTGCTGGTCAATGTTAAAATAGAGATGGAATACAAATTGCAGCTACATTCCTTTAAACAGCACCATGGTGTCATTATCCTATTATACCAAGGCACTCCATGAAATTCAACATACATGAAAAATGAATTCATATAAAGTATTTGGCTTGGATTTTCGAGGAAGGGTCAAGATCAAGCCTATTATGACTGATATATTGCCATTGCTTTGGCAGCTAGCAGGTTAATGCCTCTGCATTAACAGCTACTATGAACATCAGCTAGCAATGGCAACATTAAACATTCACTTTGAAAGAATGGCTCAAAAGTCCATTTAACAATTGTGGAGTGGGCTGCTTATGAAAACTGCATGAAAATTAAAAGAATATCTTATACATCTCTTGAATATCATTTCCAAATATAACAAAAGGGGTATGAATTCTATTCTATTAACTCTTAGACAGTATGTTTGATTTTTTTTTAATGTCAACCAGATGAGGTGCAATATAATGTAACATTGTTACAATACTATTGTGATTATAAAATGCTAATTTAAAATATTTATATGTTAATTAAAGTATAATGTCAAGAGTCCTGAGCTGTGACTACAATCAGCACAATTCACTGCTCTCTGTTTTACAAGGCCTGTGAATTGTGCAGATTGCAGAAACAGCATGGAATTCTTATTGGCCAATCAAGTGATTCAGTTACCCTAGCCCAATTTATAATACATTCAACTATACTATATTGTGCAAATATGACTTCTTTGGTGGCAACATTAATACAGTAAAGAATGGTCATAAAACTGGAACTGCCTCAGCATGTTCCACAAATTTTAAAAAAGCAGAAAGCAATAAAATTGTGCAGTGCACATTACGGTATGCAGAAAAACTACAGTGGATGAGTTGGAAGAACAATAGTTGGGGGAACAGTTCATTCCGCACTGCATCAGCTTCAGTGGGAGGACACTTGTTCTGAGACTGCCTGCTCATTCCCTTCTCCTCTGTTTGTACTTGGCCAGAACACAACTGGGTAGAACCTGTGTACATGGGGCTAGAGGGTAGAGTGCATATTTCCATTTCCTCCCACATTTGGCCCGAGATGGCATTCTTGGCCAAGAACAGCTCATGAGAAAATGAAGCTGCTTTCCACTAGGCATGTTTTAACCGACTGGGATAGAATCTTCTCTATCCAGTTTTACCCAAGAGGAGTACTCCAAGCCAAGCAGATGCAAGGGAAAAACAAAGTTGTGTCCCCCAAATCTATTTACCCACATTAAAGAAGCTCTGTCATTATTTAGCCTTTTGCTTGTATAACTGAAAAATATAAGTAAGGAACATTTGTTATAACATGTTCACCTCAGTGTCAAATTTCAGAATTCTGTTGTTTTTCCCGATTTTTTTAATCATCCTCATAAAAGATAATTGGTTTATTTTATTTGCTTGACTAAGTATTTGCTGTCTCTTACATATTAACAAGATAGGTGTTTTAGATACCCAGCAATTTACTATCTAAAAACCTTTCTATATTTGTAAATATACTGGATAAATTGGGTGGGATCTATTTTAAATATCATTATTATTGTGACATTACATTTATATCCCACCTATTTTCCTCTTGTGAGGAATCCAAGGAAGTTTGCATAGCTTCATTTCATCTCCACAGAAGTCCTCTGAGGTAGGTTAGGCTGAGAATGAGTGCCTGGCCAAAGGTCACCCACAAAGCTTCATGGCCAAGTGGAGACGAGAACCTGGAGCTCCTAAGTCCCTAGTCCAACTTTCTAACCACCATGCCATATTGGCTCTCTATGGCTCTAGATTCAGTCATACTCAGAACTAATCCACTGAAAACAATCAGACTTAATTTAAGTTACCTGACTAATTTACATTCCACTGATTTTAATGGATCTGTTGTAAGCATGTCACAGTCTAAATCCAACCCAATGTATCAAAATGTGCCATAAATTGAGCTGACAGGATAAGCAAACACTTTGAGAAATAACAGCAGAGGAAAAAGGTTTCCACTACTGTCAAATCTAAAGCACTATTGATAGACAGAATTACATATTTCCACAAGACATTTTTTCCATCAAAGGAAAGCTATTAAGAATATTTTTGACCCATTGTACCAGCTTAGACATATACATTCTAAGCCTGTGATCCTAAGAACACTTGCTTGAGAGTGTCTAGAGTTGAGGTGTATTTCTATTGAAAAGAAGTATAATTCCTGTTATGCAGAAGCCAGGGGAGACAATCTAAGCAATGAAAAGCTCCAGCTAGCATGTAACAAAAGCATTAACTTTAAGTTTAGAAAAACTATGATAAGTTGCCTTCTTTAGGAGGAAAATTTTCTTTATAAATAAATGTAACAAGCTACTTACAGCATATACATGATGACACCTATGCTCCAAACATCACACTGTTGGCTATAGTCATGAGCACTTATCACTTCTGGGGCTGCCAACCAAGCAGAAAAAATAATATTAATAATACAAAAAATCTTTTAAATGCTTAAAATAAAGTATGTGCTGATGAGAATTACTTTATTCCTCCCTGAAGCAAAAAAGAAAAGCAGCAGATGTTGAGATTAATAATGTACAGCCCTTAACAATTCATGCTGATGTGTCCTCACTTTGATCATTTAAGAATGATGACATTGTGACTAACTAATTGTGTTACTGTTTCTTCTTTCTAGCCATAATTTGTGAAAACATTGCTTATAAAATTCTGATTGCAAATCCTTCATGACACCACATAAACACATTTCCATTTGGAAAACAAGTGTAGTGCATAAGGTTATGTACTGGATTTAAAGACAGAAGGGCTTCTGCAAATATTCAGCAAGGACAAATCCTAAACAACTAAAAGAAAAATGGTTTCAGTCTGATTTGCTTTATATATTTATACACATCCTAAGTTAAAATGTATACATGAAAAATCATTCCATTTGAGCTAGCTGGTCAGCTGAGGTTTGAGTGAGTTTTTCACTTGTGTGTACAGTCCCTTCATTCTTCCTTTTGTATGCACCACAATTAAACCAGGAAATCTCTGTTGGTTTGACCTGGTTAGGCCCCAAGAACCACTGGATTCTGCAGGTTCTAGAGCAGCCATGCTAGATTAATATGAATGCATAGTATGCAAATTATTTTCTATTTCATACTATAGATTTAAACTTCTATAGTGTATTCTTGCTTTGTATTTTATGGCTTTGATTGTCATGAATGGCCTACAGAACTTCAGCTCTTGGGGGGTACTGAAATGTAATAACATAAGTTAAAAAATAAATACATAAATAAATGAACAAATCCAGTTCTGTGTCAGATTTATTTATTTATTTATTTATTTAGGCGACTTCTATGCCGCCCCATTTGCCGAAGCCTCGGGGCGGCTCACAAACCATAAATAAATAAAATTCAATAAAACAATATAAATTAACAATATAAATTAAGTCACCATGGCCAAAGAATAAAATGAATAAATAATATTAACAATTAAAATAACATTTGAATAAAAAGGTCTTCGCCTGGCACCGAAAAACAAATGACGGCACCAGGCAGACCTCTCTGGGGAGCGCATTCCATAGATTGGGCACCACCGCAGAGAAAGCCCTCCTCCAAGTACTTACCCTCCTAATTTCCTTCACAGAGTTTCTTAGGGTTTTGCTGAATCATAATTGTCAGCTGAAGATAGCCCTTTGTGGGTAAGTTCTAGTAACTCACTTCAGCTAGCGATAGTCTAATAGTCCCCACAATAGTCTTACATGGGACTCAGGATCACAAATGTTACTGAAATGTTTGGAAGAATGTGTTTATCTGCTGATAAGTTATATGCCAAAATGACATGTGCAAAATTGGGCAGAAAAGCAGAATCCTATTTGCACTTACCCCTAGATATACCTTGATCAGTTTCAGTTCATGAAACTGAAGAAACTTATGTAAAATTTGGGGAAAGACAGAATCTGTTCCTGTCACTGCTATAATCACCAAATTCAATGTGTACTTTTTCTGCTACTACTTCCCCTTTTCGCTGCATATAATTCCATTGTCTTTCACTCTCTTACGGTTTGACTAGAGAGAACTGGACTTTTGCTTCACTGCACTGAATGGCTCTGATTGAAATGAAAAGGAGCCACTGCATTGGACTGATAGCTATGAATTCTATTCTCCATTAAAAATTAAAAGGTTAGAGTGGCTTTAGCTGATTACCTTGTGATATATTGATTGCTTTGTCAATGCCATCCTTAAGCCATTTATATTTTTGTTGCACTGATGGTTTGTTAATGCCATTTATCTTTCCAATATAAGATCATATTATTTTCAGTCAGTATTAATAACTAATTATTTTTTCAATGATTTGGAACAAACCAGGATCTTAATTCAACTTCAACTTTGCTTATTCCAAAGTTAGTACAAGATTATTACTAGCTGAAGTGAATTATTAGAACCTTACTATCAACCATGGTACAAATGTTTAAGTTCAGTTGACAGTTAAAATCCAGCAAAAATCCAAATAGTTTACATAAAACTAGATTTCTTCCACAGGAGGTATCCATATTCATCCATCATGGGTACTCTGAAACCTGCAGAATTCAGTGCTTTCTTGGGACTAGCATAGCCAAAGCAACAAAGACTTCCTGGTTTAATTGTTGTTCATGCGATAGGAAAAGCAAATGAGGCTATGCATGTAGAAGAAAGCTTCGTGCATATCGTAAACTGATGATCACTCAGACACAGCCACTGAAGGTTGATGCTCCTCATTAATAACAATTGTTTTAGAATTATGTTGGCTATGCTTAATCTACTATACTGTGGCACTACATGTCAGGAGTCTGTTCAAGATTTCAGTCCCTATTAGCCCACTTTAGCTGCAAAAGTAATATCCTCCAGAGAAAAGGAAAATGTAAATACTTCTTGCATTTATATTTCCTCTTATTATTATTAGTAACTAGAGCAAATTAACATTAATTGACTTAGCAGATGTTACATGATTGCCTTGCCTGCTGAACGTTTCCTTTAGTATAGGTTAGGGCTAACAAAAGCTTATGGACAGGGTTATCACATAATACTGAATATCAAAGTAGATTTCCATAACAAAAAAACTGCATTCAACTTCACAAAAAACTCTCTAGTTTTTCTACCCATCAATAGAAAGATACTCTTTTATATGTAATATACTTGCCCTAGTTATTATATAGAAGTACTTTAGCAATGTTATTCTGAAATCTTATTCTAGCTAGATTAGGAACAGAGAAGTAATAGAATGGATAATGGACTAAATAGTCTTTGTAGCAGAAATGCAGACTGTTCATATGAGATTTTAGTATATCTGTTTGTAGAGGCCATAATAAGCATGGCTTAGAACTAGAATGTTGTAAATGCTCAGTGTAACGTATGGCATGTAAGATCACAGAAATAGCTTTCCATTCCATTCTCGATTTGATAAAATGCAGCCAAGGGGAAAATAAAGATACCTGAAGAACTGCCATATCTTGTTGCCAAATTGAATTTTCAATTCTAGTTTCTGAGCTGAGTATAGCAAATACACACACACACATAACCCATGCTCTTATCATGTTAAAATATTTACATGACATTCTGATGCATTAATTCTCAAGACAATTAATAACAGATTGATCCTTTCTAACAGCAATAACAGGCTTCATTGCAACTTCTGCACTGAATGAATATGAATTACAAGGAGGAAGGATCAGAAGTATTCTTAGAAAACTGTTTAGTATAATTTTAATTTGGGTCAGGATATCATGACCCCAGATTTCAGCCTGAAATATTGCCTCAAAGGACTTTCGTCTGAAATATTTTATGCCTCAACAGATTATTCTCTCTCCCTTGAACAAAACATAGCAGTGCCTCTGAAGTTCCTGAATATTGCAGTATATCGAATAAGAGGTGGGCTGGAGATAAGCAAAGTTTTGAAAAAACATCCCCAACATATCTGAAAGGCATTGGCTGCAATCATGAGCCCACTCATTATGAAAAATTCCCAATAAAACTAGTGGAATGTATTTCTAATTAAACATGCATAAAATTAGGTTATGAATCTCTTCAATGGCATCCATTTCTTACAAAGGTTTATCTTTGCAAATGCCACAAGTTTCTCATCCACCTAAATAGGATCGCATGGTCCATACAACATCAGTACTGAGACTTTACATTCTAAAAAGACACAGGAAATAGCCACTGAATATACAATTCAGTCAATATAAGTATTCAGACAGAGACCGACATAAGGAGTGCTAGTTGAAAGCCCTTGAAGAACACACCACTAAATTTTATTGGGATTTATCAGCTCTCCTTTCAAGTCCACTCCTACCCACAAAGAAACATGGAACAATTTCAACAATAGCCTTGATTAACTGAATCGAAAGCAGCAGAGAAGTTTATGAAAATGGATTAGACTGGAAAATGGAATGATGGAACATCCTTTGCAAACAAAAAATCCACTTGTCCCCCTTCTTCTCATGGCAGCTCCCATACTCCCAGTACCACCACCCCGGACTCATTTCTTGAGGAATGATAAATTCTCAAAAAAAAAGTGTAGGATATGGCTTTGGAGGCTACAGTGGAAGGAAGGAGTTGTCCAAAATCAGGCAAAGGCAGCTTGTTAACTGAGACACTGGGCATGCAAGTTGCCCCTTCCTAAATGTGGTTGAGCCTCCTTTCTACTGCAGCACCTCAGGCTGCTTTTCAGCCCATTCATGAGAGGCACCCTACCCTCATGAACCTTTATGAGAACACACGGAGCCGCAATGGAGGGAGTGGGGAAAAGAGAGGCAGAATAGCCTGCTTGAGCAAGCGGACTTCTGCTCACCCAGAAATAGATATGATCCTTTGAGCTCAGCTATCTACTTAGAACTATAGTGGTAAAACATAAAGCACTATCTACAACTTTCCTGCCCTTCAGCCAGCAATTTACTTTACCCAGATCAGTTTTCCAATTTGTTTAACAGATAGCACCAGTATAGTGAATCCAACCAAGGAATATCTTCCAGTTTTAAGTGGGTGAAGGAAGATAGCTGGATCCTCTTGATATTCAAAATAAATTAATTAGTAGTTGAACAAAGCTTGAAGAAGCTGTCTACTGACACAGATATTTTATAACTATGAAAAGTTTCATTTTTAGAACGTATGAAACACTGACACAATGGGCAAGACAAGGACATTAAACACAAGTACGCAGATGAGAACCATCTGACTGTGAGCTACAAAAAAATAATTTATTCAAATGCCATTCCTTCATGTGATGAGACTAAATGGGAGTACTATCTATGAAGCGCTGAACTTACCCATGTAGATTGGAGTCCCACAGGTAGACTGAAACATGCTTTCACTTCCCCCCATCTTTTGTACTGCTAAACCAAAATCAGTCACCTACAGGAAACAGAACTCAACTGTCTTGAAAATTCCCTGATGATATGTAGTTGCATCTCTTTTATTCATCTTAAGAGTTCATTGTTCTTAGCAAACTGCTTGAATGAGAGCTAAAAGAATTTGATTAGATTTCTCAAATGATCACACATAAAACAGTGCTCCTTAAGCAGAGAAAGCCCTGCACAAATCCTCCTATAAATATTCAGAGACTACTTTTAACTTTAATCCTTACTTGCAAATTGCACTAACATTTGAGTATACATGAAATGCGAACTTAATTCATAAGATTCACATCAAGTTTATTCTACTATAGGGTTTGCATAAAAACTCTTAAATTAAAAAAGCAAATATTTTAACTGAGTTTTATTTTGAGTGTGTGTATTAAAGTTTTCCTTGGGGGCAGAAAAATGGGGCACAGTGGATGCTAGTTAGGAAGCATTGAGCAGGAGGGACAGAAGCCAGGAAAGAAGTCAAACAGGAAATAAAAAGAGTGGCTCCATGTTTGGAAGACATCCCTTACTTATTCAGATGTTCTACATGAGAGCAAGAAAGGTAGAAGATTTTTTCTTAAGTCAGGTAAGGAACGCTAGACATCTAGTATTTTAAGGGCTGCCATCACATTATCCACTTTATATATGCCCGGCCTTGAACATATACAAGGCAAGGCAAAGCGTCCAGCAGATGCTTTTCTTGGTTTGTTCCCACCCACAAGTCTAAGGAAGGCCTGACCAGGGCAGCACTACAAAACAGGACCTAAAATGCTCCCAAGAACTGATGTCATTTCTGTTTCTTCTCCAGTTACAGAAAAAGCACTGGTCAGCCTTATGCTGAATCCTATCTCTACAGATAGGCCACTATTGAGTGAGGGGAGAAAGGAAGATAGAGAAAGAGCTAGGCATGCCATTTTTATTAAGTATGGGTTTGAAATATTTAGATACCATCTAATATTTCAATGAAATCTCGAGACAGTTTACAAAAACAGTAAGTCAATAATGATAGCGACACAACAACACTTCAATAAAAAGCAGTAAACAATATATAACAAACCATTCAACCATTAAAATACTGAGAAAATAAAAATGGTTTTGGCCTGGCAGCAAAATAAAGAGTCAGTGCTGGGCATACTTCTCTATCTCCTACTATCTCCTACCTTTCCAACAAAAGAATATGGGTTCTTTGAGGACTGTTTTCCCCTTCAACAAGTCATGCCACCTGGGTTTGTATCACATAAAAAGTTGTGCTCATATAGAAGATTAAGCAAATGGTGCACAATATGCACTACAGCTCAAATAAGCCACCAAGGCTTGTATGTTGGTAGGCATGATGTTCATGCCTACCAGATCAATAGTTTTTGTCTAAAGGGCTAGTTCACACACAAACTGCAGCAGCTACTTCTCTCCACATATTTGCAGCTGTGTGAACAGAAGCAGAAGTGTAAAATTATTATCTGCGGATGTCAAGAAGGCTTATGTGGGAATTATTTCAATTTTGGCCTCACAAACAGCCTTGTTTGCTGGCTCCCATTGCAAGACAGTGACTAACCAGAAGTCACCCAGTGCACTTTACAAGTCTCTCCAATTCAAGTATTGCACAATAGTTCTCTTAACATATACTCAACTGGCACATGGATACATTCAGCAGTTATTCTCATAATGAGCAATTTCTGGATTCACTTGCTATTGCCGAAATCCGAATGCCATTTGTGTCAGTAATAAAGCATTTATAGGTACAGTTCAAAAAGTACAAGACACTGCTATCATTATAAGGAGCTTGAAAAAATAAAGCCAACTAGTGCCCAGAAATAAAATACTTCCAGGCCCCAATGCAGACATCCAACCAAAGAATACAGTGGGTTACAATACAGCAGTCTACAAACACATGGAGCAGGAAGGTTCACAGAAGCCAAAACCCTCTTTAAATTCCAAGGAAGAAGGCTTCTTCTGGTCTAGCAAGAAAAAGCTGAAGCCTGACACCACCACAGTGATGAAAACAAAGGGAATAAAATAGGGCCATGCAGTTTCAGCACCAACCAGGGCCAGGCCTGCCAGGCCTGGCATCAGCCAAACAACCTGCTGAGCATCATCTTTCTCTGTCCCAGTGTGTAGCACACGAAGAAGTCCCTGCTCTAGTATGAAAACTATCATATATTTCTTCATGTGAATGTAAGCAGAAGTGCATTCAAAAGCAAACATGGAGAGGAATGGCTGGTGAGATGCATATATGAACCAGCTTTGAGTCATAAGAGCATAGGAAACCACTGGTCCCTGTGGCCAAGTATTACTGACGAAGACTGGCAGCCGTTCTCCAGGAGTTCAGTGAGGAGATTAAAGCTGGGACTTTTGGCATGAAAAATGTGTGTTCTGCCACTGAGCCACTGTCCCATTCACGTGGAACACCGGCTGAAGTAAAAAACATTCAATCATATTATGTTCCTTTTTTTAACCACAGATTGTACCTTAGCACATCAGTTCTGTGTCAGCATGCACTTTATAGAATCCTCACAGCCATTTTATAATGGCTATAAAAATGGTAAGTAAGTACAAAGTAATATATAATTTAGCAACCATCAAGGGCCAATTATTTCCATACAAATAAATGTGTGTAAGTTTTTGATACATTTAATGCATCTAGGTAGTAAATACTTATAATATCCAAAGTCCACAAAGTAGAAACTAGCTGATATGTAAAACATCGTATGTTTTTCAAAATTGCTAAAATGTTTAAATTAAATTGTCAGTATTCATAATTCATACTAATTATGGCTCCCTCAGCTTACAGCTGCTAATGGCTTGAAACTATATACCCAAATGGTGTAAGCAGAAGAATAAGGTACATTTTTAAAAACATTTCTTTTTAAAATTACCTATAAGTATACTATTCTTCATGCAACAAGAATTTTCAACCACAGCACTTGACTCCTACATACCTGCAAATTGTTCTTGTGTCAGCCCTTTTCTTTCTGGCTTGATCACACCACTATTCCTCAGTTTAAAAGCTACTAATAATAATTTACTAGAAAATTTGACTTTTGATACTGTATCTAAAAAATACACAATCAAAAGTAAAGTGTTAAAGTGTTGCAATTTCTGGGCTTACCTTTATATTTAATTTAATTTCATTTTCTTCATCAATGTCACTGCTTTTAACCAAAATGTTTTCCAATTTCAAATCTCTATGAACAATATCTGTCAAGATGGAGAACAAAAAGCAAAACTGTTATTTATTAATTGCCTTGAAAACATTCTGACAAAAGTTTTAAACCTTTTTGACTGAGTCATTTATGAGTTCTACTTTCAATGTATTTTATCTTACTTTAATGCACATAAGCCAACACAGCATTCTTTCTTTTATAGAAAAATATTGTCTGTATATTCTAAGCTTGGATCAAACTAGATTCACTTTTCCAAGAAAGTTAAAAAAAAGAAATCCACACAGATTTTATGATATTACATATGATTGGCCATATGATTTACTTTAAAATCCCCAATTTGTAAAATTAAATGAAAATATTCAAAATATTTCCTGGATACAGAAAGATAAAGTTTAAGGATCAACAGTGGAAGAGATGAGAAATCTTTCTCATTTTGTTCCATATCAAATTTATTCTTATGCTCAGATTCACAGTTGTGCCACCACAGTTCCTCTCTGTCTTCCATCACCAACTCATACTTTTACTTTTAGAAAAACACACAGCATATGTTGTTGTTGTTGTTAGTCGCGAAGTCGTGTCCGACCCATCGCGACCCCATGGACAACACTCCTCCAGGCCTTCCTGTCCTCCACCATCCCCCGGAGTCCACTTAAGCTTCACCAACTGCTTCAGTGACTCCATCCAGCCACCTCATCCTCTGCCGTCCCCTTCTTCTTTTGCACAACATATATATAACATATATACAACAATATATATAGAAACAATCTAAATCATTACCATACAAGAAACAGGATGCATCATGCACTTTTCTAAATTCATTTTGTCATATTATTTGTAACATATTAAGCTCCTGTTTGAGATGAACTAAAACATGCTTGAAAACAATGGCTAAGATCCAAAGAAACAATTTAGACATATGTAAGCAATTTCCTGTTTTGTCTGCTATTATTTTGTTTTCCAGTAGCAGTTCTTTGTCCTGAATTAGAGAAACCATCTGCAGTTCTTACATTTGGAGGAAGGTGAAAAGAGGTCCTGCTTCTGGAAAGAGGGATTCCGAGTCATATTGTACAGATAAACTTTGCTGAACTGTTTTTTTGAGCAGGGCTTATATCTATAGCACCATTCGCCAACCTGGTGGCTCCTAATTTGTTTGACTTCAATTTCCATCTGTCCCAGTCCACATGGCCAATGATCTGGAATGCTGGCAGTTATAATCCAAAGCAGCTACATTATCCAAAACATGAGAAAGGCTGATCAACAGCAGTGAGGAGATAGCAAATACTACTTAAGATTATTTGCAGCATCCAACTTCTGTTCTCTTTCACTCAAGGGATGAGTATTTTCTGAATTCCTGAAATAAATCATGGCTTCAAAGAGCTAAATACTAATTAGAATAAAAGCATTACAATAGTAGAAACATAGAAACAGAGCAAATCAGAAGGGTCCTCCCAGGCCATCTAGTCTGACCTCCGGCACCAGCCGGCTCCACTCATGACATGCTCACCATCCAGCCTATCTTTGAACACCCTCACCGATGGGGCCTCAACAACTTCTCGTGGAAGCCCATTCCACACCCTTGGGGTCCTAACTGTCAGGAAGTGCTTCCTGGCATCTAAATTGAACCTTGGTTCCCTGAGCTTTACTCCATTGGAGCGTGTCCTGCCTTCCTCTGCAGGGAAGAACAGATCTCTACCCATCTCCATGTGACATCCCCTCACATACCTGTATGTCGCCAACATATCCCCTCTGAGTCTCCTCTTCTCCAGGTTGAAGAGACCCAGTTCCCTCAGTCTCGCCTCATTCCCCATCCCCTGCAAACTGGCCACCAACCTTGTGGCCCTACGCTGCACTGACTCTAACCTGGCTAAATCCTTTCTGTAATGAGGGGCCCAAAACTGAGCACAATACTCCAGTTGCGGGTGCACCAGAGTCGTATAGAGTGGTAATAATACCTCTCTCGATCTAGAAGCCATACTTCTGGCTATGCAACCAAGGGTGGCGTTCGCCCTCTTGACCGCATCACACTGCTGACTCATGTTTAGCCTGCAGTCAACCAGTACCCCAAGGTCCCTTTCACAAGTGCTGCTCTCCAGCCACTTGTCACCTAACCTGTACTTATGACAACTATTCCTATGCCTCAAGTGCAAGACCTGCACTTATCCACATTGAACGCCATCCTGTTGTCTCCTGCCCACTTCCATAGTCTGTCCAGATCCTTTTGGATCTGGAGTACCTGCTCCTCAGTTGTGGCCTCTGCTCCAGTTTTAGTGTCATCTGCGAATTTGATCAGCAGACTATTCACCCCTTGTTCCATGTCATTGATGAAAAGATTAAACAAGATCGGCCCCAGGACAGAACCCTGGGGGACCCTGCTTGTCACTGGCCACCATCCCGATGATTCCCCGCTAATGGTTACCCTCTGCTTTCGATCAGTCAACCATGCCCTAATCCACCAGACAGTGCTTTGGTGTATTCCAAAACTCCTCAGTTTCTCCACCAGGATATCATGGGGCACTTTGTCAAAGGCCTTGCTGAAATCCAGGTATACCACATCCACTGCATCCCCTCCATCTAGCCATCTCAAAACCTTGTCATAGAATTACACAAGGTTTGTCTGGCAGGACCTCTTTTTGCGGAAGCCGTGTTGTGTGGCTGTCAGCCTCCCTTCCCTATCTATCGACCAAGTCGAGGATGTTTCCCCCTCTTGTCACCTCTCGGACCCTCTGTGTGAAAAACCCTTCCTCTATAGCTTCTAGGAAGCAACGTGACCTGGCTGTCACCTCCGAGTGAATCTCCCAACTAATATCCGGGAGATTGAAATCTCCCGTAATTACTGTGTCTCTCCCCTGAGATATCCTTAGAATCTGGCCTGTCAGGACATCATCCAGGCTCTCAAGTTGACCTGGAGGGCGATAACATACCCCCACTGTCAGGTCTCTTTCCCTGTCAAAACCCCTAAGTTTCACCCAGACTGCCTCTGCCGAATCCCCATCTGTGCTGCAATAACATTGTAGTAATAACATTTTATTACTACAGTGTTATTAACAAATGTAATAACATTTCAGTTATTAAACAGGAAAGACTTTATTTTTAAAAGAAGGCTGGTTTTCTGTAACTATGGTCACAATATGGAATAAGTCATACAAACAAAAATATAGTGGATATTATTAAATACGATAGATAATTTACAGCCATACCTTTTCTATGAAGATATGCTATTGCTGATGCAAGACTCTGAATTATGTGTCGTGTCTCATTCTCTGTAAATTGACCTTTCTTTTGAAGAATTTCTTTAAGTTCTCCATCCTCGCATAACTCCATTACAAGGTACATGCGCTAACATTAATAATATATTTGTATTATTTATACTTTATTATATAAGGTAGTCAATTATTAATAGTTACTTTTAAATTAAAATACCTAGAATAGTTTAGACAGGGAAATGCAAAACTTATATACTTTACTTTTTACAAAGATTGAATACATTTATCATAGTTCTCATGTTTTTGACTCTAACGGGAATTTCAAACAACATTCAAAGTGTCAAAATACAACTTATATTGGTTATAAGTGATTCTGGAAAAAGCAAAACCTCATTTAAGATTAAATGGCACCATAATTTTAGATGCATTTGTACAACCTGAGAGGATTCTTACCACTATGAGCTACAAAATACAGACTTAACTATCACACCTCCACTATCTCCTTCCTTCTTGCAGCTCACTCATTTGGGAAAATAGACTGGGTTCCCCCACACTGAAATAAATGAGGACTTCTTAGCATATTACATCCATGTGGGTATCTGAGCATATAAAGTAATGTTAAGCAATTTGTGGTCCTATAGATGTTTTGCCCTACCATTCCCATCAGCCAAAGAAAAAGGATGATGAGTGTTGCAAACCGAAACAGTTGGATGACCCAAAGTTTCCCACCCCAATATAGAGAACTGAACAGGATAGCAAATGTAGGAGTTCCACCAAAATCAGTTATTTTTTTCCAAGTAACTCATCACTGTTAAAAACACCCCAGGCACTTCAAACTGAACACAGGACTCTCACATGACTGAAGGGTCCCCATGCACTCCAACAGTGGGAATGTTGCTGCAGTTAACAGGGAAGCTGCAAATGCTGACCTGTGGCCAGTAAGTTTAACAACACTCTGACACTCATCCAGGCAGCATTTGCAGAAAGCTAGTGATACTTCCAGCTCATTTCCAAATATTCATGCTAGCTGTACTCCTAAGAAACATTTCAGAAAAGAGAAATGGATATAAATGCTGCAAACTGACAGTCCCCATGAGACCGACATACTACGAGGAGGGGAAAAAATGGAAGGCAACATATGACAGAGAAGTTTTAATCCCAGCAGTGTCTACACTGGTATCAGAACTGGATGGTGGAGACTTCCTCACATGCTGTAAAACCCATCTCTGTAGGAATTCATCAGCAACCTGTCTGCTGTCATCACATCTTGTTTGACCTTTGAAATTCATTGTGAGAGTTACATTATGAAATCTTACTTTTGGTGTCTCAAACACTTCTTCGAGATGAATTATATGCTCGTGGTTTACTCTTTTTAGGATGCTCACTTCCCGCTCAAGCAGTTTCACAGCAGAACTTCCAGCCTTAAATAGTGAAAAAATAGATTTCTTATATGTTCAGGTGTAAAATACATAGCTTCTTGTGAAACAGATCCTGTTTAAATATACACCAGCTACTTGAAAAGCGGGTTCTACAGCCACAACCCTACACAGACTCAGATCAGGAGCATCATGGTCAGACACTTGTTCTCTACTCCAGCTGCTACTGGGATCATTGGCTGGAGGAAGGAACTGTTAGCAGTTAATAAAGAAAACAGAATCCTCCTGGAAAAGATGTGCCAACAGAGCTAATCTCTGCAATCCTTTGAGAGAAGCCTCCAGGCCATCCCTTTGCATTTCCCAGCACCTATTCGAGAGAACTGCCAGCATTTAGAACTTCATCATATATTAATTACTCTTTTCCAGATCTACTAACCTGGGCCCAGACTATAAGACTCCATACAATGTTTTCTTGGATCTGCTATTATTGCTGAAGGCACAGGTCGCCTCAGTGGCACACAGCATCTTCTATCAGCTTAATGAGGTATACCAAAAATGTCCTTACCTGGACAAAGATAGCTTAGCTACAGTTAACAATGCTCTAGTAACCTCTCCTCTGTTTATTGCAGTGCAATAAATTGGGGCTGTTTTGAAAATGGTCTAGAGACTGTAACTGGTCCAAACTAGGCCAGCAACTTTGTTATTTGGAACTGGTCAATATGAACATATTATGCTAGTGCTTTGTGATCTGCCCTGGCTTCCCGTCTATTTCAGGTCCAATTCAAAAAGCTAGTATTAGAAACATAGAAACACAGCGAGTCAGAAGGGATCTCCTGGGCAATCTAGTCTGACCGCTGGCTCCAGCCAGCTCCACTCATGACATGCCTACCACATGCATGTCCAGCCTATTCTTCAACACCCTCACCAATGGAGCTTCAACCACCTCCCATGGAAGAACATTCCATATTTCAGGGATGCTAACTATCAGGAAGTACTTCCTGGCATCCCCCTTGAATCTTGGATCCCTGAGCTTTGCCTCATTGGAATGCATCCTGTCCTCCTCTGCAGGGGAAAAAGGTCAGAACCCACCTCTGCGTGACACCCCCTCAAATACCTGTATGTCACTAACAGGTCCCATCAAAGTCTCCTCTTCTCAGGGCTGAAAAGACCCAGATCCCTCAGTCTCTCCTCATATGGCTTATCCTGCAAACCAGCCACCATCCTTGTGGCCCTTGGCTGCACCAAGTCCAACCTTGTTGTATCCCTCTTGTAATGAGAGGCCCAGAGTTGAACACATTGCTCCAGCTGAAGGTGCACCAGAGTCATATAGAGTGGCAGTAGTACCTCTCTCGATCTAGAAGCCATGCTTCTGGCTATGCATCCTAGGGTGGTGTTCATCGTCTTGACTGCCACATCACACTGCTGACTCATGTTTAGCCTGCAGTCGACCGGCACCCCTTTTCAATTTCTGCCCTCCAGTCACTTGTCCCCTACCCTGTACATATGACACCCATTCCTATGCTCCAAGTGCAAGACCTTGCACCTGCATTGTACATCATGCTGTTTTCCCCAGCCCACTTCCACAGTCTGTCCAGATCCTTCTGGATCTGGAGTAGCTGCTCCTCAGTTGTAGCCACTGCTCCCATTTTGGTATCATCTGTGACTATTAATTTAATTTAATTTTAATTTAATTAAGACATTTATATGCTGTCCTTTGCAGCAGCCTCAGGATGGCTTACAATGTTTTAAACAATTTGGATACAGATTACTTGAAACCTCATTGCCACTCACAGACACTAAGTTTATCCTCAGAGGCTCTCCTTTGCATTGCCCCACCAAATGAAGGGAGGTGGATGGCTACTAAGGAATGAGCCTCTTAGCTGTGGCATCTCACTCGTGGAATGCCCTCCTCAAACAGGTATATCTGCTGCCTACCTTGTGGTATTTTCTGAACCACCTTGTACAGAACAAATGAGTCCCGTAATGCAGAATGCACAAAACCGAACAGTCTGAAACTACTTATTTTATATGAAGTACTGGCAGTTTCCATATGATAACCAACATGATTATGTCTCCCATTTTAAAGGAAGATGGGAGACATTAGTGAGAAAAAGGCACTAAAGATAGCACAGTAGTCAATATAGTCTCCAATTACAAAAGGAGTTTTGGGTACAAAAATGTACTAAAGTTATTTAGATTCAATGTTAAAATAAGAGCATCACTACCTGTGTCATGTCCTCTATCAAGGATAGAATTGATATTGAATAAGATACCATGATCCGAAACTTCTCCAAACCATTTTTTAATCCTACTTAACATAGCTTAGGCTAACAAAATGTAGCCTTGCAGGAAATACTTGTCACAGATATTATTTCTTATTTTAGTGAAAATAAATAGAGAAATATATTTACTCTTTACAGGATACCCAGAGTATCTCAGAATTTATTCAACCCTGAGAATGAGGTTGGGTGCTTGCGGAAAAGAGTATTTGCTTTAGTTCCTCCATTACCAAAAGGAGGATGTTGTGCTCCCACTGACAAGCTCACTGAAGGGATAAACCAAGGACTGTGCTTGCCCTCTTTTTTGCTTAACCTCCTTATATGACTGAGGGCAGCTAGAAAATGGTATGGCTACATTGCCACATCAGCATCTCTGACAACTGATGCACGAATCTTGTCTCTAGAAGAGAGATAGGATTGGAAGTTTGGAGTATGAACAGGCATGCCTTTTTTGGGGAGAAAAAAGAAAAAGGTTAAAAGGAAGAAGGGCTGGAAGGAGAGCCACTGTAATTTGTGCCTTGCCAATTTTCTGGCACAAACTCTCCCTACGTATGTACCAGTGGGATTAAATAGTGAGGGAGAGTCACTGGGTCTATGATAGTATTTTTTTCTTTTTGCATTAGTATTTATATTAACTTCTATTAATATTTTCATATTCCATTTTAATAAAAGAGCTTAAGAGAAGGAAAAAGATTCATACCAATTACTGATATTTGAACGACTCTGCATACCGCTGTCATTGTGACAGAGGATCTATCAATCCCAGTTTACATATGGTTTTTCCCCACTAGTTTTTGGGACAAAAGCTACATGGGCTGCTGATAAAAATTATGCTCAAAAGTTATTATTCACAACATCTGCAAAACAAAAAAAATCTTAATCCATTACAAATGATGCCTACCTTTTCCCGGTTCACTTTTTTGATTGCCCACTTTATGCCTGTTTCTTTGTGTGTTGCTTCAATTACTACACCAAAGCTTCCTTGTCCTAATTTCCTTCCAAAAGAATAAATTTGCTGCAGAAATAAATGATGAAGAATGTTTTGCTACAGAAGAATGTTCAAGCAATATATATAATGGTGAGGGAGATAAATATATATCATGACATGCAAATTTCAATCACAAATCAATCTCTTATTTCTGAGGAAATAAATACTAAGTTCTGTTTCAAAAACATACTATGTACAATCTCAGTAAATATATAAATATATAAATATGTGATGCTTTAAGCCAGGGGTCCTCAAACTTTTTTAATAGGGGGCCAGTTGAAAGGTGGCGGCTACACGGGTGGGCCGGTGAGGAGTGGGGGGCCTGGGCACGCGGGCTGGTGAGGCGTCATCAGGTGCGGGCGGCGGCAGCTCGCTCACTCGGAGATCTCCCAGCAAGTCCAAAACCGTCTCCGAGTGAGCAAGTCACCGCCTCCAGCCCACACTGCAAGGCAGCAGCGAGCGGGCGTGTGCGGGGGAGGCAGGCAGCAGTGGCTTGTTGGGAGATCTTCTAACGAGTCCAAAACCATCTCCAAGTGAGCAAGCTGCTGCTGCTGCTCGCACAGCAAGCACGTGCGCAGGCGGGGGGTGGCGGTGCGGGCCGGATGAATGGGCATGGCGGGCTGGATCCTTTCCGTGGGCTGTAGTTTGAGGATCCATGCTTTAAGCATTAATGGGCAATGGGAGAGGTGAATAAGAAAGAATAAATGAGAAAAGAAAAAAATGATTAGATTTCCTTTCCCACAAATCTAAGACACTCCTTGTACAGTCTCACCAAAAGCAATTTCCACTCCGGTCTCCACCTACAGTTTAATACTACAGGTTTTTATCTGTAATCTTGTTCAATTAATATTCTTCTAATACTATTTTTGCTACCAGTTTTGCTACCATTTTAAAAAAATATTTATTTCTAGCTGCAGTATAGAAATGAATTGTGTCCACTTCAGTGCCCTCCTCCCCATTTTTAGTCCAGAAATATTCACCACACTTTTTTATAACTTTAGCTAAAGGCAAAATGGGATGAGACATTGTAACATGTAACAAAATTTTTCTGATGGAAACAGAAATGCAAAGAGGAATATTATTTAAGGCTAACAACAATAACTTTTAGACTCTGGGACAACAAAAGTGTTGCCCTTTCACAGAAGATTTCGATTTGTTTGAGGAGATTAACTAGCAGAGACATGGCTGACTAAGCAAATCAGTTTCCTGCCACCAAACGTAATCTAACCAAAACCTTGGCCAGAGAGAGCCCCAAGAGTGTAAAGGTGCAATCCTATGCATGTTTAGAGGGAAAATCCTTTAGCTCCCAGCATTTCCCAGGCAACCATGCTGGGAGGAGAATTATGGGAGTTGTAGGACTTTTTCTGTCTGAAAGTACACAGGACTGGACCTTCAGCAGATTTTTCATAATGTATTACAGCCTATGCAGTAAGTCCAGAAACTGACTTTTGTTATCACTCATTTGGGAAAACAATGAAAATTGCCCTTGATGGCTCACCTTTTTATTTATTTTAGAAATAAAAAGCTGTGCCTTATTTTTCAACAAGATTGCACAGCTGTAAACAATTAAAAATCACAACAAATATCAAAAATATTTAAAATCAAATTATGCCAATAAAACGGTGGTTGTAGTTCAATCAGAAAAAAATGTTCAAGTAACAATAACCATTTCAGCAGGTGCTAAATACACTAAATACAAAAGGACAAAATCCTGGAAATGTAATCATCTGCAAACTGATGATCAAGGGCTAAATCAGAGGGGAAAATCCAGTGCAGCTCCTGCAGCCTTGTTCAAGCAGGGAGTCCATATTGGAAATAAACCCAAGCTGAGACAGGGGGAAGGAAAAGCAAAACATATTTCTACACTGATAAGAACCACAGTGCAGATCTAGCTTGCAGGTGAAAGAGGAGAACGCAAAAGTTGGCTTGAAACTCAACATCAAGAAAACTAAGATCATGGCATCTGGTCCTATCACTTCCTGGCAAACAGATGGGGAAGAAATTGAGGTAGTGACAGATTTTATTTTCTTGGGCTCCAAGATCACTCCAGATAGTGACTGCAGCCAAGAAATTAAAAGACGCTTGCTCCTTGGGAGGAAAGCTATGGCAAATTTAGACAGCATAATAAAAAGAAGAGACATCATCCTGCTGACAAAAGTGCATATAGTCAAGGCTATGGTTTTCTCAGTCGCAATGTATGGCTGTGAAAGTTGAACCATAAAGAAGGCTGAGCGCCAAAGAATTGAGCCCTTTAAATTGGGGTGCTGGAGAAGACTCCTGCGAGTCCCCTGGACTGTAAGGAGATCAAACTGGTCAATCTTAGAGAAGATCAACCCTGACTGCTCTTTAGAAGGCCAGGTACTGAAGATGAAACTCAAATGCTTTGGCCACCTAATGAGAAGGAAGGACTCACTGGAGAAGAGCCTAATGCTGGGAACAATTGATGGCAAAAGAAGAAGGGAACAGCAGAGAATGAGGTGGCTAGATGGAATCACTGAAGCTGTCGGTATGAGCTTAGGTGGACTCCGGGGGATGGTGGAGGATAGGAGATCCTGGAGGAACGTTGTCCATGGTGTCGCAATGGGTCGGATCCGACTTTGCGACTAGCATAGCATAGCAGATCTAGCTAGTGGAAGAGATTGATTACAAACATAAGGCTAGCTTCTGTTTGAGCTCAGAATAGGCTCAAATTTTTAGTGGTATAGACAAGATCATAAACTAAAGTTTAGAAACAGACGGTACCAAATTTGAGAGTCCAGATTATCACTTAGTTTTAAAACACAAAGGAACTCAGTCTTCCAAGCCACATCCTTTCATGTATAGTCTACCCTTTGTCTATTGTCCTCTCCAATGACCCATTGACTCTTGTGCTTTCCACTAAATAGAACATCTCCACTCCCACAGGCACGATTAACAATTAACATATATTTCCAATCAAAGGAATCAATTGGAAGATGAGCAATTCTCTGCTCATACCAAAGATGTGCCTCTGGGCAGGTGGTGGATGGGAGATTCCATCATTTGACACACAAACTGGGGTTCTGATGGGAAGTAGACCCCATAGTAAATTACCTGCTTGGTACAAAGGTTGCAGGTATCATGTGTCATGTAAATAGCTTTGTAGATAGCACTGGGATGAAAGCAGTGGTTGCTGTCCATGTTGGTACCAATTACATGGGGAAAAATAGGTGGGAAGTCTATATTTCCCAGTAGAAGGTGGAAATTCAGGACCACCAAGGTGGCTTTCTTTGAAATGTTACTTGTCCAGCTGAGGAGTCTTGATTCATGGATGAGGTGGTGGTATATTGAGAAGGAGTTTGGATTTTTTTGGTAGTAGGAAACATTTTGGGATGAAAAATACAATATATACTAGCTTTTCATTTTTTTCTAAAGGAATAACATATTACCTACCATTTTTGTAATCTTCTCCTTTAAGTTACACCATAAGTTTATAGTTACAAACCTGAATTGCTGCTCCATCCTCTATTCGTGTGTGAGGAACTTTGAATTCTGTATTACTACCACGAATGCCTGAGGTAATGAGCATTTTTCTGTGACAGTCTGTTAGGTCTGACTTTGACATCTTTAGGAACATAAAAAGAGAAGCATGAAATTAAAATACAAGTCATTGTCTTAAAAGCCTATACACTGTTTTACATACCTTCAAGCACATGAAGTAAGTTATAGGTAAGTTATTACAAGAAAACAAGAAAATATATGAGGTGGGACGAGAACTAGAAAAGGTGAATATAATAGATTTCAAAACAACAGTAGAAATATATCTTAGAAGGTGAATAAGGAGAAAGAAATATCTAGTAATACCATATTTAAGAATCTGGATTCTCCCTTGCACCACCCCTCAATTTGTTTCAGAGAGAAAATCCAAATTAATTCATGTTCCATCAACATTTTTATTTTCTAATTCAGTCCTATGAAGAAATAAAATCGGTGAACTCAAGTAACTATATTTTTTGCTTTCTGCAATTCATGGCCCAAAAGACCTATCACTAATAGTACCCAATTTCTGCAGTATACCTTCAAATAAGTCCCCCTCTTTCTTGTTTTTTGAGAATTAGTGTGACTCTATGGCAGTCAGCTATCCCATGCATCAGAAAGTAACAGAATGACAACAGTAACAACTCTCAACAACACCATCATACATTGGTGCAAAAGGTCTCAAAGTGAATATGAAAGAACTGGGAAAGTCGTCAGCCCCAGATCTTGGAAAGCTGATATAGTCACATTTGCTGTTACTGGGTAGGTAAATAAATGTTCTGATTGCATTTAAAACAAATGCATATATTCCTATGCAGTAATTCATATATTATCAGTGCAAATTATTCTCACTGCATCTGTACAAGCATTTACACCAAAGTAATGCTGTTTATATGCAGAATTCAAGTAAAGAGGCTATTTACAACTAAAATTGTGCTAAAACATTACAGATTTGTGGCAGCCTAAATAATAATAATTTAAAAAATCCTAAGGGACAAGATGATGATGATGACAATGACGACGACAACGACAAAAATCCTAAGGGATACTAGCAACAATATAAACAAAAAGCTTGAAAAATATAATGTAAGCATAGGACAGTATTTCTTTTAGTGTGAATATCCAGCTTGTTCCCACAAGCTTTTGTAGTCAAACAGGAACTAAGTTGATATAACATCATATAAATACTTGAATTTAAGTCAGTTAATTAAGGCTGTAGTCAAAATTCTGAATTGTCTCAAAAGGTAGCATTAGTCATTGTTCTGAAAGCTGTCTAGAGCATGGATGCGAATGGCTAGAATATCCCTGTCCAGTAAAAACCACAACTGGCAAACCAAGTGAAGCTGGTAAACAGCACTCTGTGCCATGAAGACCTTACAAAGCTGAATCTAGGTGCATCCTCAAGCTATGAAGAGCCTTCCAGTCCAGGAAAGCTTGAACACCAGTTCTCTGGAACCATATACCCATAACCCCTCCGTCTTGTCAGAATTCAGCTTCCTACTACTGTCCCTCACCCAGTCCATCACCAAATCCAGATACTTATTTTCTCCAGAAAAAGAGAAAGTGCTGACACATCACTCCAAAACTTTGAATGGTCTCTTTCAATGGCTTCAATGCTGAAATGCATGAAGAGTAAGATAGAATTCATAGCAGAGGTTTTATGGGGTCAAGCAGAACCCCCATCTTTTGGAACAAATTTTTCAGGTCAGGAATAGGACCCACTATAGCTCGGTGCCCTTTCATTCATCCTGCCGTGGCACTGCAGAAAGTTACCATGACTGATGGTACCAAATGCTGCAGAGACATCATGGAGAATCCATTGGGTTATACTTTCTGTAACTATCTGGGTAATACTCTCTCCAAACAGAAATCATCCATTAGGAGAACCAAAACTGCTCCAAGATAAAACCAAGGCTGACCCTGAATTAAAATTAATTCAGATAATACATTTCATTCACAAGTGCCTCAAGATGAATGGCCATTGCTCTTTTGTTCCAAAAAGGGAACACTTAAAATGGGAAATGTATTTACAGTCTTCTGAGTCTAAAGAGGATGTCTTCCTCTCACAAGCATTAACCACCTCCCAGATCCACCCAGTCAATTTCCTCCAGCTTGCCATAATTGACCCTGATGGGTAAGCATAAAAAACTTAAGAGGTCAGATGAAACCTTTCTCAGGCAACATCAAATGAAACTATCATATATAATTAGACCAGATGATGTTTTGGAATCTGCTCCAACACTGTACAAACTGCTTCAACACTGGTATCTTAAGTCAGAACAAATCCTCTGAATTCTTCAAAGATTCTAATATATCCCTTCATGAGTTAAGTTGTAATAAATCTACTACCATCCAGAAAAGCTTTGATGGATGGCTACCTAAGGATACAATGATGTCAGAAAAGTAACTTATCAATGCAATGAAGTAGGCTCATTAATGAGGTCGCACTTGCATTTGGTCCTATTCACTACAAGACCCAAGTCATTTTCTTGCCAATTCCTTTGCTGCCAATGCCCTTGCAAACTAGGAGCTTATCTTTGCCCCGAGCATCATTCCTGTGATGTAGCCATTGTCAACTGACCATCAATCTTATTGTTTCAGTAGGAAACAAGAATATCAGCCAAGTCAACTAGGAACTCCCCATCAGTATCTGGGAATGTTTTGCTAAGTCTGGAGGGTGGACAATCTTAATGTCTCCTATGCATGCACTCTCCTGCAGAAATGTATGGGTGCTACCATTCCAAACCTCATCAGGAAATGATCTCACAAGGTTAAAGTCATCTTGAGAATCTGCCCACTTCCAGACACCAGTCTTTGTCCAGTTGAAATCTCGTAATCTGGTGACACAATTACAATGTGTCCGGCTTGTAATTTGCCAGGCCCCATTATTATAATGGCAGCCATCTATGAGGAATCTGTTCTGGGGGTGAGATTCTGTCGAGTTCCTTGGGCTCAGATCTTTGGACTCTGGCCCACTTTCTTCCACCTGTTGGGGTAACTTGGCACCAACTATTTGGGAAGACACTTGTCAAAAAGCCAGCCCACATGAAAACTGTGCAAACAGCAGCCCTCTTCCATGCACATGACTTCTGGCCTTTGTTTGTACTGTGCATGATGTGGAAAAGGGTTGCCATTTGTGCAAACAGAATTCCATGAGCATTGAGTCCTGACTTATCCCTGTCTGCTTTGACTGTTGCTGGCTATGTATTGACAGGTTGGAACCTAATTTGAATCTGTGTGTGCACATGCATGTGCACAGAGGAAAAAAGAGAATTAAATATCTTACTTCAGTTTGTTTATATCTCCTTTAGGAGATGCTTGTTTCTTTGACATGCCTTCTTCAAATCCTAAATTGAGATTGAAGCAAGCAATGAGTCAGAAGTTTCTACTACAGCTCCTCTAGAGCACCCAGGGCTCCTTTTTGCAATGGGAGCAAAAAGAATACAGCATTGCTCAGTTGAAATGATACAGCATTGGGTGCATTTTATAACCTTCTTTTCCTGACTGAGAACAGCCATCTGTTTGGTTGTGTAGATCCTGCTGTGCAAATTAAAGAGAAGCACAAAGATTGGCACCTCTGTGTCCACTGTTGAAGGAAGCAGAACAAAAAGCTGAGAAAAGGAATTGGAAAGTCACAGTTAGTGGACTGGTGGTATAAAAATGTGCTGTGACAGGAGATGGCTGTCAAGTAACAACAGTACTGTAAGAACAGTACTGCTATACAGACCTTTGATACAGCGAGCTTATAGAATCAAAGGTGAGAATGTGTGACCAAAAATGACAAGCACACTAGGACAATCACTGAGTTATAGGGATTTTCCCACATAAAAAAATAGAAATAACTGAGGCAAGAATAAAAATGACACCTTTATAAATTAACCCTCTAAAAAAATTACAATCTGGAAATAGTAAGTATTTTGCCTTTAGTTACTTTAAAAAATCCTTAAAGGATAAAATTGGAAGAGACACATCTACCAATCTTATATAAGCAATGCCTTACATGATGTCATCATTCTATGTGCATCCCCACTTCTATTTGTTAGGGGTAGATAGAAAAATGCATAGTGTAATGATGTCACATTGTTTGCAAGAGATGTGAGCAAGAACATAAAGGAAAGAGACATTAAGCAGAGTCCATTCCACATGTTTTATAACATCTAACTTGTCCCTAAAATTAGCAGCATTTTTAATTTTCTGGGCTTCTGTTCACATTTTCTATTGATTCTTCTGTCTTACTGTTCAGTCCTACAAACATTCTGAAATCCTATCATAAAAAATAATATAGATCAACTGGATAAGAATATCTGCTAAAATTATCAAGAGGAAATTCTGCCCTTTTTCTTTGTATTTATTTTGTATCATTTTAATATAAAAATGAAGGCATTCTAATGCTAGAAAACTTAATCAGCATTTACATAAATACCCTAAGCCATGGGTCCTCAAACTATGGCCCACTGGCCAGATCCAGCCCGCCATGTCCATTTATCCAGCATGCCTCAGAGGTTTTGGACTCCCTGCGCCCACTGCAGGCGAGGCAGTGGCTTGTTCACTTGGAGATCGTTTTGGACTCGTTCGGAGATCTCTGAGCAAGCAAGATGCCGCCTCCCCACCCGCGCCCGCCACTGCCTCACTGCACACTGCCTGTTGCTACCTTGCCGCGCACACACGCCCACCGCCGCCGCCTTTCAACTGGCCCCGTTGAAAAAGTTTGAGGACCCCTGCCCTAAGCTCATGGTAAAAACCCACAGAAGAACTCAACCATGTGCATTACAGTTCAATTGATGGGTGACTGAAAATCTTCCACTGGAATCAGTGAGCCCTTAAAGTGAATAATTTTAGCTGGTTTATGTTGCATGTTAAACACCAATCCCAAACACCATTTAAAATGATGAAGTCACAACACTGATCTCAAATTTTGTTTGCCTTCAATACAAGCTGATCCAAAAATTCTTGTTCTACTAAAGAAGCCGTTTCAGTCACGGGTGGGGAGAATCTTAATTCCTTCTTTGTTCTTAGACATTTGTAATATCAAAAACTAGCTTGCCAATCTTTTTGTGGGAAAAGCAACACAATCACATTTACTAAAGTAAACAATCCTATAAAACCAGGAAAAATAGCTAGGGAATGGGCCACAGAGCCAAGAAAAATGGCCTAAATCTGTCATTTACCTAAATCTAGGTAAGCAGAAAGACTAATTGTCCCTGATGCTTATAGTTTTTAAAATGGGGAAACATCATGCTGCACTTTCCTGATCTAATGTCAGAAGAAATGTTAAGTACAACCTACAATCATGCAAAATTTCTTACCTTATAATGTGAGGGCCATGATCAAGTAGGTAATACTGTCATAGAAACGAGTAGAAGCAACACTGGATAGAGAGAGATCACTGGACTCCAAAACTACAGAACTCACGAGTTTATCTTGAAGATAAAAAGACAGACAGACGGACAGTCAGACACAAGAAAGATATGGCTTCAATTTGAATTTAGCTGGTTTGCATGAACTGAAAGGATGTGGGGCCTTGGACAGAAGGTAGAAATAGTTAACCTTTAAATTAAGATAACTGATTCATTTAAGAATATTTAATTTAAGCTATTGTTTGTTCAGATCATATACAATTCCATCCACCTTCGAAACTTTAGTTCCTCCATGTTCCTCACACTCTTCACTGGCTATACCCACACATCTCCTACACTTTCTGAAGTGCTCCTTCTCTGTCTACTAGACTGATATGCCCTTTGCTGCCTTTCCTAGACCCTAGGCCAGCAGTGGTGAACCTATGGCACGCGTGCCTCAGCAGGCATGCAGAGCCCTCTCTGTCGGCCCACAAGCCAAGTCACCCCAGCATCGCCCCAGCAGCTGAGCATCAGATACAGCGCACACAGGTGCCAAGCGCATGCTCGGAAAGGAGTAACGCCGCCAGGTGATGACGTCACGAGCTGCATCTCATCTGAGCTTTCACATGGTCAGTCAGTGTACTGCCGAGAATATATATATATGGATCATTGAAAGCTCTGTTGTTGTGTTTTTCTTTTAAGACAAAAGATGTTAGTGTATGAGTTGTTGTTTCTAAACTAAAACCTTAGTATTCAGGTTTTATTGCAGTGTTGGCACTTTGTGATAAATAAGTGGGTTTTGTGTCGCAGTTTGGGTGCTTGATTTCTCAAAGGTTTGCCATCACTGCCCTAGGCCCATGTACTTGGATGCTAACATAAGTTAACAAAACAGAGTTCGTAGAAGCAAAAGTTTCCTGTACTCTGTTCACACCTGCAACTGTTTAGAGTCCTTGAAAAACCTCCCTGGAGGGTAAAAGCTCACCTCTTATACTGTGGTATTGGGCCTGGAGGAGTCCAAGAAAGGACCCTTAGATTCTCACAGTTTTGTGGGAGCATGTTCACCTGTACATAGCCACTGTTTCCCTGTTCTGCTGCTACTTCTTTAACATGGTTTATTCTTTCTCCTTCACTAGCTGATTTCAGACAATCAGGGATCATATATGAAGTCACAGTCAAAGTGCCATTGAGCTGATGAATCTTACAGCATAGCAACATCAAAAGTGCATTCAGTTATGCATCGCATTAAGGGCAATCAGATATGTGACTGGATGAAATTCTGATGAGCATCTATATGTACTTAGCAAATTACATATGCAGTTAGCAGTGCAACACCACCAGGTTGTTGCAGTGCTGCAAAAGAAAGACAGTCAGGCAAATTAGTGTGTTTCTTTACAGGCATGAATTTCCTTTTCTCTCATCTATTTCCGCTCTTTTAAGCTTCTACCCCAGTGTCTGCCCAGCTAACTTGTGGGAAGGCAGGTTGCTCTCTTTCCAAATGATGGCAACAGCAGTGCCGACATTTTAATACCATCTCTATTCTATACCTCCCACCTATGTCAAAGCACAAGAACCTTATAACCACGATAACATGTACTACTAAATAGCATCAACTACTCATGAGGAAATCACTACAGTACACACTTCCTGTTCTCAGATCACAGGAAGAATTGGAGAATGGAATGTTCCCTAAGTATACAGAAGTTGACCATCCCTGATCTATGCACTATCAATGAGTTTAATGGTCAACCATACAAAATTAAAGTGTGTCTTATCTACTTCATGGATACCAAATAATAATTAACCTAAAGAATCTCTCAGGTGCTTTCTGTGTTAGCCACCCATATCAAATATGCAGTCTCCTACTTTCATTTTAAGCATGGTGAACTAAAGTACATTTTAAAGACTTCCTGAAGTACCAAAGAACAAGGCAATATAAGCAAATCCAAATAAAAATATCTAGAAAGTATTTATAGGCCAAGGTCACCCCTTTAAGTTTTGCCCATTAAAATACTTCTAATTTAGAAGTATTTTAGGCATGCTACTACAGGCCAAAAGTAATTGTTGTCAAAATTGTTTTATGGAAATAGGTTACATTTGTCCAGCTACATTATGGATTATGTTAATGTGCATCTCAAAGTAGAATGCCCCCATGCTGCTCATTTATTTTACCTTTTACTTTACCAAAATATTTTAACTTACTGACTTATTATAATGGCCCGTCTGCTGAAGGTCACTCTGCAGTTCTCCTCTTAAAAAAAAATTCCAAATTCTGCACCATAGCAATATAGATTCTGCAAGAAAAACCAGAAATTTCTTGAAATGACACTGTGAAATTGTGTAAATTTATCTAATTTTGAGAATTTAATCCGAATCCACCCCATCACAATTGGGTACATTGGTACCTCTTGGTACATTGGCTAGAAGGGTACACTGGGACCTCTTCAGTAGAGAAAAACAACACCAGATGAGACCCTGCCATGGCAGAGCCCCTCTCTGCATCTACACCAGCAACAGTTGATAGAAACCCCTGAAATGGATGATTCTGTGAGTGGGAAGAAGCCCATTCTGATTCATTGGATCTAAACTACTCTGCTTCCTGAATCAGACCCAATCCAGGCCCATTATGAGAGCCAGTGTGGTGTAGTGGTTAAGAGCATGGGACTGGGACCCAGGCGATCTGGGTTCTGGTCCCCGCTCAGCCATGGAGCCAACTGGGTGACTTTGGGCCAGTCACAGACTCTCAGCCCAACCTACCTCACAGGGTTGTTGATGTGCGGATAAGATGGAGGAGGAGAATGATGTAAGCTGTCTTGAGCCCTTTGTAGGAAAAAGGCAGGATATAAATCCAAAAATAAATAAATAAATAATTGCCCTGCAACATAGCAAAAAAATAAACTCTGGATTATGTGAGTTTGCAAGACTTGGAACATGGTGGTGGTATTGTCAGTCCACTCCTCCCTGAGTCCTCTTTAGGGTGTGCTACCCACTACCATGTCTGCTGGAAATAGTTTACTACTACTAAGTTGCAATAGAATTCAGAGATTTAGGCTGAGACTGAGGTAATGCAAATAGAGCAAGGGGGAAGGGTACTGAAATGCTCAAGTTATTAGAAGTAGAGCAACATCTGGTCTGGAAGATGTATAAGAAGATTCAGGAATGGCAGGAAAGCCAGAGAGTGACTTACAAAATCTTTCATCTGATGTTTTCAAGGTTAACATAGTATATAAGCAAATATAAAATGTTCTTGTACCTCTCAGATAGTGATAGTCCTTCCCAGTGGCAGTGTGAATCGGGGGGAGGGGGTCTGCGCTCACAGGTGGCAGGACAGGGCAGCACTGGTGGATCCATAAGCAGTCTTAAGGATCCTGATGGACTCCTGAGGGCTCTGGGGGAATTTCCAGTTGATATGACTGGCGCTCCTGTCAACACCCTGGTTGATTTGTGGAATAGGGAACTTACCCGGGCTATTGACACCATCACTCTTTAGCACCCTCTCCCACCATGCAGAGCCTGCGCAGCACCTTGCTATACACCCGAATTGTGAGCAGTGAAGCAGGCTAAGAGATGGCTCGAGCAGAGGTGGAGAAAATCCCGTGCTGAATCTGACCAAACACTGTTGAGAGCTCATTATTTAGCCTATGCTGTGGCAGTGAGGGCGGCGAAGGAATTCTTCTTCCATTCAATCCTCACAGTGCCATCCAGCTGAGCTTTTTTGGGTGGTACAGGGCTTTATTACATTATGGGCCTAAACTAGATCCCATCACGCCATCAAGTAGCTTGCTGTGATGACTTTGCCCAGCACTTTAGGGATAAAATTGCTCAGATTCACCATGAGTTGGATTCCACAGCTGATGCAGTCCTGGAGTGGGAGGTGTCCAGAGCACTGTCTGCTCCATTCTTGTTGGATGAGTTTCAATTGTTTCAGCCTGGGGATGTGGACAAGGTGCTTGGACAAGTCCACCCAACCACCTATTTACTTGATCCTTGCCCTTCTTGGCTGCTCACCAAAGCCAAGGAATGGATGTGTACCTAGGACTGGGAGTAGTTAACACTTCACTGAGGGAGGGTCAGGTCCCCACCCCCTTGAAGAAGGTGGTGATCAGGCACAACCTAAAGAGGCCGAACCTGGACTCAGAGATTGCCACCAATTACAGACCAGTGGCTAACATCCTGTTTTGGGGAAAGATGCTCAAGCGGGTGGTGGCTGGGCAACTCCAAGCGCTCTTGGAGGAAACTGACCATCTGGACCCATTCCAGTCTGGTTTCAGGCCTGGCTATAGGACTGAAACTGCCTTGGTTGCCCTGTATGATGATCTGTGCAGGGAGAGGGTAAGGGGGAGTGCGTCCCTGTTGGTTCTTCTGGACCTCTCAGTGACTTTCAATACCATCAACCATGGTATCTTTCTGGATAGGCTAGCATTGCTTTGCAGTGCTACTTGGCTAGCCAATTCCAGAAGGTGGTGCTGGGGGATTATGGCTCTGCACCATGGCAGCTTTGCCATGGAGTTCCACAGGGTTCCATTTTATCCCCCATGCTCTTTAACATCTACATGAAACTGCTAGGAGAAGTCATCTGGAGGTTTGGCCTGCAGAGTCACCAGTATGCTGACAACACCCAGCACATGACATCTAATCCAGGTGAGGCAGTGGCTGTCCTTAACCAGTGTCTATCTGATCAGATGGACTGGATGAGGGCCAACAAATTAAGGTTTAATCCTGACACGACAGAGGTCCTGTTAGTAGGTGATTCAGCTTTCCAGGTAAGTGATCTTTGCCCTGTTCTGGATGGGGTTGCACTCCCCCTAAAGGACATAGTGCTCAATTTGGGAGTGCTCCTCAACCCAGAGTTGTCCCTGGAACTCCAGGTGGCTGCAGTGGCAAGGAGTGCTTTCCTTCAGCTTCAGCTGGTTCATCAACTGCATCCTTACCTGGATGAGCAGAGCCTAGCAACAGTGACCATGCCCTGGTAACGTCCCAGCTATTGTAACGTGCTGTATGTGGGGCTGCTGCCCTTGGAGATGGTCCAGATACTTCAGTTGATCCAAAATAGAGCAGTCAGGATGTTAACAAGGACTGGCAGATATGCACACATAATGCCAGTTCTTTGCCATCTACACTGGCTACCAATTGAAGTCTGGGCCAAATTTAAGCTGTTGGTGATAACCTATAAAGCCCTAAATGGTTTAGGACCTGGTTATCTGAAGGAGCATCTCCTTCCCTATGTGCCTGCCCACCCCTTAAGATCTGGGTCGGAGGTCCTTCTTTGGGAGCCTTCTTCAAAGGAGATTAGGAAAGTGGCTATCCAGAGTTGAGCCTTCTCCATGGTGGTTCCCCAGCTGTGGAACATGCTCCCCAGAGAGGTGCACCTGGTGCCAACTCTTTATTCTTTTCAGCGCCAGGCCAAAACCTTTTTATTTTCCCATTATTTTAAGATTTAATTTTTATTTTAGTTGGGCTTTTATCATAGATAATCTCTGTGTTTGTTATTGGAACATCCTGAGATTTTTATGTATAGGACAGGGTATACAAAATTTAAATAAATAAATAAATATGGAAGCAAATATCAGATAATTTCAACAACTGGTTTGAGGTAAACAATTTGAATAAGCAGTTTCCATGAAAAGTCAACCACATATTTTCTTTTGCTAGATCATATTACACTAGATTATATTTTTCTTCAGTAAACAGAATTCTGATTTTATATGGCATAAATTCTGGAGCAATTCCACAGAAGCCAAAACTGTTACTCTACATTTAAGAATTCTGGTTCAGTGTGATTAAAATCAACAGAGCGCATCGTCTGATGACACTACTTCTTAAGAAAAGGCAATAAGCCTCAGGCATGCTATTATTTGATTACACAATTTCATTGACAGCTTAAAAGGCTTAAAAGACATCTGAGGAATGTGAAAGATTTCATTTTCATAGGAAAAGGATTCATTTCCTCATTTGAAAGAATGTTGCCATGTCATTTCCTCAAAGCTGGAAAAAAACTGTCTTTGTTGTAAGGAGCTTGACAAGAAAATTCCTCTTCTTTATCTTTTAATCTCAAAATAGCAGATCCCTTACCAGTTACCGGTGGATTTTTTTCAACAGTGCACAGCATTATTTTTAAAATATTAATGGTTACTATAGCTCTGATAATAATTGTTTTGTGTGTAGTTTTGTGGAAATCAATATTTTGAAATGTGTTTTTTTCCATTCCTCCATCCTTCTTGAGTCTATTTAATTATTATGACTTGTATTTAGACTTCATGGTCCAGATACAATATCTGGACCATAATACAGGGCTCCTTTAGGGTGATCCTGCTGAGGAATCCCACTAGAGGAAAGAGAGAAATCTGCAAGTTGAGAAAGAAGTACAATTTAACTAGAAATATGATATATTTCACCATAGTAAAGAAGGCCGACTAGGTGACTTGTATACCAGCTCATTCTGCTAGCCAGGTGCAAACTGTTGATGGTCAACTTCAACCCCTGCTCTTCCATCTTAGAGTGCTTTGACTTTAAGCCAGTCTTGGATTGGACACCTTCAAATTGAGGAGTCAGGACAAAGTAGCAGATTGTATTCTGTAAAGAAGACACCTAGACACTGGCAATAGTCACCCACTACTTCCCCAGGAAAGTGCATCTGCCAAAGAAAACTCTGATTATAAGATCCTCGCACTGACGGGAGCAAAGTCTGACTCCAGCCCAGTGTTTCTACTGGAGTCCTCCAAGAGACATGGTCTATCTATAACAGTCAATATAGTTTTTCAAACCTTTGAAAGTCTCCCTCTAACCTAAGTAAAGCTAAGGGATTTATTTTAAAAACACAGACATTCCATTGGTATCAGGAACTACTCTTCAAGACAATATGGTGACCAACATGTAAGCCCCCCTTCATTACGCTGTTACACCCACAGCTCCAGAGAAATCCCCATCTACGGTAACAAGCCACTGCTTCCACAAAAGCAAGACTGGGCTGCTTTAAGAGTTAGTACAGTAAAGTCCAACAGCAGAAAAATGAGTTAGAAAGGCACTTCTTCCCCACTGAGAAGGAATGATATGCAGCCAGGCTCTTGCTGTGATAACTTTACAGACTGAAGGCCCATTGCCTATGCACTGCTTTAGCACACAACTCAGAGCTTGCTTACTTCATAGCCTTGTGTTTGTCCCAAATCCTTCTTCCTATTCAGTTCTGAACACTTAATACTTGATCTGACTAATTTTAAACCCGAAACAAGCCCTTTCACTATTGTCTTCTTGTTCTTAGCAATGATTAACCTGCTGATATCTGCCAGCCACAAGACATTATCTTCTGAACCTGTAGTTTAATGCTGGCTGTTCATCTTTATCTGGTCTCTGTCTGCTTCTGACTGCCAATTGACTAATTGATTACCCAAACTGAGACTAACACATTCTAGTAGATGTGCTGTAATATAGTGCAATGCATTTTATATTGTGTGTACTCCGAATTTTACAGTGTTACAGGTACTGTCTTTTATGACATTGAAGTACATGCTGTGACTGCTGGTGCACTGGATGTGTTACACTGAAGTGTGTGGTACCAGTGAGCTTCTGAGCCCAATTTAAAGTGCTGAATTGACTTAAGATCCTTAAACAGTTAGGGACCAAATTACTTGAAGGACTACCACTTGCACTCGTATCAGACTACCCACACTTTAAGATCATCAACAGAGACCTTTCCCGCTTGCCCACTGTGAGGGAAATTAGGTGCATGACTACCTTTGCCATAGAGGTCCTACACCTCTGGAATAGGATATCATTGGTGCTATCTCACGCTCCATCATTGCAGGCTTTAAGAAGGCCCCAAAGACTTACTTGTTTACTCTAGCCTACTTCTGATTATGTTTTATCAGACTAGGTTGTAGCTGCAACTGTGTTGTAGATTCTAACTTATGTTGTTGTTTCTTGTTTCTCAGAACATTTGTTGTATGGCACTGTGGGAGGGTTTCTGACAGTCTAGAAATATTTTACATAAATAGATAATAAAACAGTGCTCCTTTGTGATCATGAAGAGCATAGCATTGTGCATATAAGAGATATATGTAGATGCATGTAAAGGAAGTGTGGGATGCACTAGGAGGATTTGTGGAGGTAGTATGGCGTATGTGTGATTGTTTTTGTATATCGATGAATAATCACCTATCCAGTTTGAGAATATTCACTAACATCCCATGTCATCACAGTAGTTCAGCCTTGTTGCTACTGGGAGCTTCACCACCACCACCACCAAGTTACAAAGTACTTTACAAAAAAGATAATGGTCATATAGTAACACACAGTTCTTCTATGTATTATTATTTTCTAATGAAGAATAAAAGCTTTTAAAATGAATGTTAATATTGTAGAAAAGTATTATACCAAGAGATTTTAAATTTTGTATAAAGAAAAGCTAAGAGATTTTCAAGAAGTTGGCTGTGATCTACAGGGAGACAGACTGTGATAGTATTAGAGGAACAGTGGAAGCAAGAGTCGTTAAGCAGATAATTCCCAGTGACAAGCTAAAACTTGCCTGTTTTGACTACCAGTGCCTGCCAGTGATGTTACTGGACAATCTAGACCTAAAACAGCACACTCAGGCTGCCAGTCAAAAAGTAAAGCATATGAGGTTTTTATGAATGAGAAATGTTTTTCTTTCCAAATGTTTGTCCCTCACAATCTCCCACTGACTGGAAGGAATGCAAGAGTGAAGAAATTTCAAATATATATTAACATAATAAAAATCTGTTTCTTGGTGATATGTATGGCATGGTAAGTGCACATCTAAAGCCACCGTGTATATTTACACAAGAATCTTGAGTTAAATCACAAATACAGACCCCCACACACACCCACACACAAACCTTAGGAAACAGAAATTGCCTGCAGATAAATGAATTTTTAATATTGATATGGAAAGATCTAAATCAGTATTCTTAGATAACATCCATACTACAGATTCCTGGACATGCATTCATGTATCAAGTACATGTACAGCATCTAAACATCCCATAGAAATGAGGGTGTTTAGCATCCAATTCCATTAAAAGAAACTTTATTCAGCGTTTAGGGGTCCTATATAAATTAAGGGTCCTTATTATATAAAGGCGTCCTTTGCAGTATTTTGACACGAGAACAAGTGCAGTTCTTACCTCTGATCAGTGACTTAAAACAATAAGTAACAGAAGACCCCAAGCAACAAGAAATATTGGGGTGGTATACCTTATCACAGAGAAAGCGAATCTACCAATAAATTGTCTATTATAAATCCTATCTATTCAAAATGTTACAGTGGGGTTTACAACACAATCCTATGTACATTTACTCAGAAACAGATCTCAGTGAATTTAATGGATTGTAATTCTAGCATTCTAGCATTGTAATCCTAGTTTTGTAAGCTGTCCTGAGATGCTAGTAGTGGACAGGTTAGAAAAACTTTTAATAAAACAAACAAACAAATAAATAAATGAATTCTAGAATTGTTACTAGGGTTCTAACTGGCACTCTTGTAAATGAGAGTAACCCTAACGTTGAAGCCCTCGGGTGCCCCATCACCTCCATCACCTTACAAGCCAAATTTTAGAGGAAATCTAGGCCTTTATTGTCTCGTATATTCCCTATAGCATATTCTGCCTTTTGCCTTACCTCAGGAAATCTATTAAGGGAAAAAGATGAAACAGCTACAAAATGCCTTCAGATTGGTAACACTAGGAGCCCTCTGTCTAGAAGCAACCACAATCTATAGTATATGGCTAGCTGCTCACTTCAGTGTGGCTACCCATAGCCAGCTGAACTTGGAGGATTATGGGCATCCTACAGAGATCAGAAGGGCAAAGGTCACCTTTGTGTTTCCCCCATCAGGCAAAAGATTTAGCTGGCCAATTTTTCCTTAGAGCAAGAGGAAATGAGGCCAAGGCACTGACAGGATACTACATATGACAATGGAGCCTGTCTCTTCCCTTCCCTGCACCCTGTCCACAAAATGCTGTCTCCAATGCATTTTCACACCAGCTGTGAGGGAGGAGGGCAGGCACTCCAAATCAGAATCTCAGCTTCAATCTTGGAGCCCTTTTCTCTTAAGGTCATCTAAAGAGTATCTAGTGACCACAGGATTGCACCAAAACACACAAAAATGATGGCAAGCACACTAATAGGCTGCCATATATACCAAAGATCCAGACTCTTCTATCATGTTAGCCTATGTCAGTAGACTCAATAACCGCAGAAGTCTGTAGTCTCAAGATCAACCTATGGTAAAAAGCAAATAATACCACTATCATTTTTTAAAGTAAACTGCAACCCCCATGGGATGGGCAGAAATGTCTTAATCAAGAGCCTAGGGCGGAGGATGGGAAAGCTTTAACACTTTAATTACTGCAGTCCTGATCTAGATCAAATCCCCCGTGCCTTCTATTTGCCTTGGGAAAAGGTTCCCACTTACTCTACCTCCCAAACCAGAGACCTGATTCTGCTTGAAGATCCTGCAATTTAATTTATGTCACATCCACACTACTCCTCTCAGTTAATTCCATTTTAATTTTCTGCAAGAACCCAACTAACACATTCTGGTTCACTTCATTTTCCTCTGCTTTGTGCAATTGAGATTGTCAGGAACTGAGTTCCCCTTTCTCCATGAGTTCCCAAAACATTCACTTTGAGCTATAAATTATTTCTGCACTGGATAACAACAGAAACATGGGCTTATATTTATAAATTCTGCATTTTAATAAAATTGATTAAAATTCTTACCTGATGTACTCACATCTGATTGGTCACATGAAGGCAGAAGTACAACTTCAAAATCCTCCTACCTATATTTTAAAAAGTGAACAAAATGAATAAATATTTTACTTTCCATTAAAGTTTTTGTTTCAAAATTGTAAGCAGGGACACATACCAGGAACACATACCACACACCAAACATATATGATAAGAAAGTACCAGAGCAGTACAAGTCTCATCAGATTTTCAAAGGCTGCAAACCAAGGCTTTATACTCAGTGGGGCACATTAGAAGGAGGGAAAACCCACAAGCAAAGATCCAAGGAGAGTGAGTACAAATTAATCTTTGATTATATGTGAAAGCATCCCATTACCAAGGACAACAAGAGCCAGGTCTGTACAAGTAATTATTTAACTAGCCATGCTGCTAACTAATGCTTATAGCTGGAACTGAAAACAGAATAAAATTGTCCTGAGTCTTAACAGAGCAGAACGTAACACCGATGCTAATTATCTCCCTCTGAGAAAAATGAAACAAATAAGCCATATTCAGGTGAAACAGCAATTGGGGGGTGGGGGGGGGCTCCAATCCTAAGCATGCATAACTGGGAGGAAAATCCACTGAATCCAATGGGACATAACTTTTGAGCAGACAAGTACAGCAGTTCATTCTTAAGAGAATCACTGAGCTTTTCTCAGAAAAATGATCTGTATATTTTAACATTTCTCAAAAACTTATTATTTTTCCTTCAAGCAATCAATTTTCATAAAAGTTTTGGCCCTATCACTGGGATAAACATTAGTGAAAGTGTCTATAAAATTTTGTATGGTTTTACATGACTATTGCCCATCTTACTAAAATTAACAGCAATGTAGATAATTCTATTAGATGTTCCAAGTCTTATAGCAACTCTGTGAACTGGCTGTAGAATTACTAAGTCTTGAACATTCTGTGAATTGGCCTACATTTTATGAACTTGTCTAAAGACAATGTTTTTCTGGAAAAAAAAATCTATAGTTCTGAATAATCATTGTATATGCAACACTAGTATATCCTCTTCTTGCTTTCTGAGTTAAATGGATAGGCTGATACCTCTTAAGCGCCATGAAATTGTTTAGAATCTATTACATCTGTGAGGTGTGAGGATACTTGGGCTAGTAAAGGGAGAAATAATAAACTTCCTGAATTAAAAATTTGTTTAGTTAAAACCTAGAAGACTGCAGAAATGACTAAGATAAGTCAATACAGAAATCTATAGAAAACAAGAAAATGTTCATCTTTCATAAGTATGCACTGAACTTATGAAGATGAAACATGGGCTTATATTTATAAATCATTTGTATTGGTATTTTGTTGTTAGTCGCGATGTCGTGTCCGACCCATCGCAACCTCATGGACAACATTCCTCCAGGCCTTCCTATCTTCCACCATCCCCCGGAGGCCACTCAGGCTCACACCAACTGCTTCAGTGACTCCATCTAGCCACCTCATCCTCTGCCGTCCCCTTCCTCTTTTGCCATTAATCGTTCCCAGCATTAGGCTCTTCTCCAGGGAGTCCTTCCTTCTCATTAGGTGACCAAAGTATTTGAGTTTCATCTTCAGTATCTGGCCTTCTAAAGAGCAGTTAAGGTTGATCTCCTCTAGGACTGACCAGTTTGATAACCTTGCGGTCCAAAGGACTCGCAAGAGTCTCCTCCAGCACCACAATTCAAAGGCCTCAATTCTTTGGCACTCAGCCTTCTTTATGGTTCAACTTTCACGGCCATACATTGCGACTGAGAAAACCATAGCCTTGGCGCTCAGCCTTCCTTATGGTCCAGCTTTCACAGCCATACATTGCAACTGGGAAAACCATAGCCTTGACTATACACACTTTTGTTGGCAGGGTGATGTCTCTGCTTGTTAGTATGCTGTCTAAATTTGCCATAGCTTTCCTCCCAAGGAGCAAGCGTCTTTTAATTTCTTGGCTGCAGTCCCTGTCTGCGGTGATCTTGGAGCCCAGGAAAATAAAATCTGTCACTACCTCCATTTCTTCCCCATGTATTTGCCAGGAAGTGAGAGGACTGGATGCTATGATCTTTGTTTTCTTAATGTTGAGTTTCAAGCCAACTTTTGCACTCTCCTCCTTCACCTGCATCAAGAGGCTCTTTAGTTCCTCTTCACTTTCTGCCATGAGAGTGGTATCATCTGCATATCTGAGGTTGTTGATATTTCTCCCAGCAATCTTAATTCCAACTGGTGATTCATCTAGCCCCGCCTTTCTCATGATGTGCTCTGCATATAAGTTAAATAGGCAGGGCGACATTATACAGCCTTGCCGAACTCCTTTCTCAATTTTGAACCAATCAGTGGTTCCGTGTCCAGTTCTCAGTGTTGCTTCTTGACCCGCATATAGGTTTCTCAAGAGACAAATAGGATGGTCTGGTACTCCCATCTCTTTAAGAACTTGCCACAATTTGTTGTGATCCACACAATCAAAGGCTTTAGCATAGTCAATGAAGCAGAAGCAGATGTCTTTCTGGAACTCCCTAGCTTTCTCCATGATCCAGTGTATGTTGGCAATTTGATCTCTAGTTCCTCTGCCTCTTTGAAATCCTGCCTGTACTTCTGGTAGTTCTCAGTCCACATACTGCTGGAGCCTAGCTTGTAGGATTTTGAGCATCACTTTGCTAGCATGTGAAATGAGTGCAATGGTGCGGTAGTTTGAACATTCTTTGGCATTGCCCTTCTTTGGAATCGGAATGTAAACTGACCTTTTCCAATCCTGTGGCCACTGCTGAGATTTCCAAATTTGCTGGCATATTGTGTGTAGCACTTTTACTGCATCGTCTTTTAAGATTTTGAATAGCTCAGCTGGAATAATGTCACCTCCACTAGCTTTGTTGTTGCCCTGATAACCACAATAACCCATCGTGGTTATCAGGGACGTTAAGCTCTTTCTTGTATAGTTCTTCTGTGTAATCTTGCCACCTCTTCTTAATCTCTTCTGCCTCTGTTAGGTCCCTGCCATTTTGGTCCTTTATCATGCCCATCTTTGCATGAAATGTTCCCTTCATATCTCCAATTTTCTTGAAGAGATCTCTGGTCCTCCCTATTCTACTGTTTTCTTCTATTTCTTTGCACTGTTCATTTAAGAAGGCATTCTTATCTCTTCTAGCTATTCTCTGGAATTCTGCATTCAATTGGGTGAATCTATCCCTTTCTCCTTTGCCTTTTGCTTCCCTTCTTTCCTCAGCTATTTGTAAAGCTTCCTCAGACAGCCATTTTGCTTTCTTGCATTTCTTTTTCTTCGGGATGGCTTTAGTTGCTACCTCTTATGTTGCGAACCTCCATCCATAGTTCTTCAGGCACTCTGTCTATCAGATCTAATTCCTTAAATCTATTTGTCACCTCTACTGTATATTCATCAGGGATATGATTTAGGTCATACCTGAGTGGCCTAGTGCTTTTCCCTACTTTCTTCAATTTAAGCCTAAATTTTGCAACAAGAAGCTCATGATCTGAGCCACAGTCAGCTCCAGGTCTAGTTTTTACTGACTGTATAGAGCTTCTTCATCTTTGGCTGCACAGCACATAGACAATCTGATTTCTGTGTTGACCGTCTGGTGATGTCCATGTGTAGAGTCGTCTCTTGGGTTGTTGGAAAAGAGTGTTTGCTATGACCATCATATTATCTTGACAAAATTCTACCAGCCTGTGCCCTGCTTCATTTTGTACTCCAAGGCCAAACTTGCCTGTTATTCCAGTTATCTTTTGGCTTCCTACTTTAGCATTTCAATCCCCCATGATGATAAGGTAAGGACATCATTTTTGGTGTTAATTCTAGAAGGTGTTGTAGACCTTCATAGAACTGGTCAACTTCAACCTCTTCAGCACCAGTGGTTGGGGCATAGACTTGGACTACTGTGATGTTGAATGTTTTGCCTTGGATTCGAACTTAGATCATTCTGTCATTTTGGAGATTGTATCCCAGTACTGCTTTTCCTACTCTTTTATTGACTATGAAGGCTACTCCATTTCTTCTGAGGGATTCTTGCCCGCAGTAGTATACCTGATGGTCATCTGAATTAAATTCACCCATTCCTGTCCATTTTAGTTCACTGATTCCTAAGATGTCTATGTTCAGTCTTGTCATTTCTTGTTTGACCACATCCAGCTTGCCTTGATTCATGGATCTTACATTCCAGGTTCCTATGGAGTATAGATCTTTGCAGCATCAGACTCTCCTTTCACCACCAGCTACATCTGCAACTGAGTGTCCTTTTGGCTTTGATCCAGTCGCTTAATTCTTTCTGGAGCTACTAGTGCCCTCTGCTCTTCCCCAGTAGCATACTGGACACCTTCCAACCTGAGGGGCTCATCTTCCGGCATCATATCTTTTTGCCTTCTGGTACTGTCCATGGGGTTTTCATGGCAAAGATACTGAAGTGGGTTGCCATTTCCTTCTCCAGAGGATCATGTTTTGTCAGAGCTCTCTGCTATGACCTGTCCGTCTTGGGTGGCCCTGCATGGCATAGCTCATAGCTTCATTGAGCTACGCAAGCCCCTTTGCCACGACAAGGCAGTGATCCATGAAGGAGTTGTATTGGTATAAACGTCTATAAATAGTACATTTTCCTTATCTTGTTTCTCTTATAATGTTTTGTATTCTAAGGATTAGAAATCATTTAACAATTTTCCAAATATACGATTCTCTACTGGTTTTTAATAAGAATGCTTCCATTTTAACAAACATATAGCTTTAACAAACATATAGCTTTCACTAAAGAAACATTTAATGGATAGTGCCATAACTCAAAATTAGCTTGTTTGATTAAAACATAGAATACTCACCCTATATAGTAGATGCATAAGGTTTTAGCTAAAAGTGCAGCTATTACGTTGGTCTCATATACTGGAAAATCAAATCATGTTCACAACATCAAAACAAGCTACTATATCTTAAACAAGACACAGTGCCTTGTTGTGAGGTACAGGCCAGGCACAATTTGCATAATCACTGCCCTGTCATGACTTACCACAATTCTTAGTACATACCTAAGCCTTCTTAGTACATACTTGTTCTATTTACTCTCCAGTCTAAATTTCA